TGCCATTCATTCCATATGCAAAGCGACATGTCATCCTTCATTATGAGAACTATGAAACGCAACACAAATCAATTATGCGATTCATACAAGATAAATGCTTTGAAATATGAGCATAAATTAAAGTTAGAGTTCAACTTTAGACGGAATTGAATCCTATTGGTATTTACTATTGGCAACGGATATTACAAGATCGTTTCAACATGTATTTAAAGGTGTTCACAGAGCTTGCCATTCTTAATGATTTGTCCAAATGATTAAAAACTGTTATTGAAGACACGAGTGGGTACGTTTAAAACATTTTGATTTATAATTTTGCACAGAAAGTAATCCTGCATCTGCCTGCCTCCATTGATACTGATAAATTTCACTTAAGTTAATTAAACCTTCTTGTATAGTGCTAATTTATGTGTGCACTTGTACATCATATAGCGCGTTGAATTTCGAAACGCTGCTCAATTGGCTTCTATTTCAGAGTACTAAACAATTCACGTTTTTACTTAACAGACATTATTAAGCGCTACTTTTGACATTTTGTCAACGTGTTTGGTACAATTAAATTCTTCATCAATTAGTACCCAAGACATTTCGCGGTTTTGACTATCTTCAGTAAATCTCAATTAACAGAGTTATTTACATCATAGTCTCCTTATATATAATAGGGTTATAGAAAATCGTTTGCAGTGTGTGTTCTTTTGTGTAATATTACGTTCTGGGAATCATAATTGCCTATTTTTATCCGAGTCCTTGTGCTCTCTCGTGATATGAAGATTTAGTATCCAACATGGCATTCCCTACGTCTTCAGTCTTGATAATGATGTTTGAAATGTGTAAAATAGTGTGATATTTTAATTTTTTGTTTAAAACCTGACTCGGCAGATCCACTTTGGTCCCCATTCTAATTTCATCTTTTGGAGCTAAGGGCATTAACTATGTTTTTTCATGAATATTTGTTTAGCTCCAAAATAACGACACACCAGTGCACCAAATGATTATCCATTACTCTCTTCTAATCTATTAATTACAACTAGCTAGACTTTTAACGAATATTATGAAATACTTTTATCTCACCTGTTCACCTTATCCAAGGTCCACAGAATAAAGAAAGAGGACGAATCTCCACCGGGATTGAAAGCAACGTAAACAATGAGAGAGAAAATAATCTGCAACTGGACTCGTTTTGAAATATGATTTGATGTGCGGTTAAAGTAAGCCTATTCGAACTTTATATTTTTTGTCCACGGTTTATAACATGTATAAACGCTTTGTGAATTAACCAACTGTGCTAAAAGGGCACCTGGATATAAACTGAACAATGAAACTCAGTAGTTAGCAATATTATCAGCTTGGATAAAGAGTGAGTACACGATGTGTTCCCTACTCTATTATCTTGTAATTAAAAAGTTATAGCCTATATGACCTTGAATCATATCTCATGGTAAAGAATATTAAAACCCTGCCAAATGGTAGCATTTTCATAATTATGCTGCCAAGGCTGACTGAGCGGCAGGCTTTTCAAAAAGGAATGCCGAAATCCTCTCGTACCAAGTTTAAGCTGCAGCAATGAATGTAGATCAAAAGCCAGAGGCCCGTATTCAACAAGGTGGTTTGTAGACAAACCTAGGTTCAGTGACATTTGTGTTTTCATTCATTATTCGAAATAAACACCTTATGCTATGCATGTGAAATGGCGCAATGGACAAGTGAGCAGAGAGAACATCTGAGAATATCTGAGACAAGGAGTTAGTAGGCTGTTCAACATAATTTAAGGTTATCTTATGGACTAAGGCAAGTTTCTGTGAAAGCTTAGACACATTGCATCATTTTAAACAATAAAGCAACAAAGCATGGGGAAAAATTTCCTTTTAAAAGTATTTGAGACCAAAGAAGCACGTTCATATTGCCTGACCCACATTTTTTCCATCAGCCTAAACTTGGTACAAGGCGATTTCGACTACACGTTTTAAAGACCCTAGTGTTCAGTCACCCGTGGCAAAAATAATTTGAATATGGTATCATTTGACGAAAAAACAAGGTACTCTTCCTCATGAAGTAGATTAGGAGCTACCAAAGTTGGGTACACTTTTCGGAATACGCACCGTATAAAATGTATGTAGAATTATTTCCAAGTTTCCTTAGACTCGATGCTGAACTTCATGTTCATATAACATGGCTCATTACACGTGTGCACCGTAGCCCTTCCTCACAATCGACACTACTTACTTCTGTCGTATAAAGCAGAATTTATTAACCTTTTTATAGTCACTGCACATTTGCGAATAACAAATTTTCGCGTCAAAATAATCTCAAATCTATAACAGAAGCTTCGATCCTTTTCATTACTCTCATACACATCAAGTGCCATGTAGACACACGAAAGAACACATTTGTTTCTATATTTTTGCCAGCGAGTAAAAGAAAAAGAAAGAGAAGACATTTTTTAGTATGGTAAGATATTATTTTGTGAAGGAAAGAACATAGATAAGACATGGTTTTATGCAAGTGGCCCCCTCACTACCCAATATATTAATACTAAAGTCATATATTCTGTCATGTCGATATACAAATATATAAATATATTTGGTAATCTTGTTGTCCACAATCATCCCTTTTTTTGGTGTTTTTTAAGAGGTAGCAAAGCGAGCAAAGAAAAAAGACTCTTCATGGCTTTTTACTTGTTAATTTTTTCGTTAAAACACATTGCAGTTCCTAATATTTTGATTTCACGAAATTGACGTTAATTTCATAATGAATGAAAAACATCTCGCGGTATTTCTAGAGAAGTCCTGTGTAACTCCAGAGTGCCGCGGCACGCCAGTTAAAAGCGCTGGTATAAAGCATGTTGTAACTTTTGTTCAAAGAATACTGTATATTAGTGCATGATACTTCATCAAAAATGAAAGCAATACAATCATCCTGTTCCTCGTACGTTTATGCTCAATTTTGAAGGCAGAATGAGCGATTTGAAACGCTCATCGTAAACGCTCATCGTAATCGCAGTCTCACGGTGTACTGTTTATGCTCACTTCTCTGCTTCCTCCAGGCATGATTCTGGCTCAGAGCCAAAATCATGCATGGAGGAGCCATAGAAGTGCAGTGCACAGTCTGCAGTAGAGGTCAGTGCGTTGACCCCATTTAAACGCGTTTACAAATGATTGTGCGTTTATGCTTCCCCAGAATCGCCGATCCAAAACGCACCTTTTTGTGAGTTTACCATCGGCGATTACGATCGCCGTGATTCTACAAAAATGAGAAAGGACGCAACCGTGTTTTGAAGTAAACGCGTAACAAATGCCTCATTCTGGCCAGAAAAAAGATGACCATAAACGTACCCTTACAGCCTCACTAAAATTCTCTTCAAGCCTTAAGCAGGTTTTTCAGTGCTTTGTAGACAACTAAAATACCACACAATACATTGAAATGCCGTTCGATATTAATTTTATTCAAAAAAAATTATCGGACCACCATTACGCATGTTATAAGTGTAATAAAGATGAAACATAAGAAAATATATAACTGTTCCACTATCATGCTAAGCATATTAAAAACATTAAGAACATGGCGGGGTTTAATTTGATTTAGATCTATTTCAACTTAAATTGAATTGAATTGAATTTATTTATTCACCACCATTGAAACATTGAAACAAAAGTTATATATAAATGTACAATGACAATGTCACTATAACATAAATATATGACATGAATTATAAAAATACATGTTCTGCAGCGATATACATGTACATTATACCCCCCAAAATAGTTATAAGTAATTTTATCGTCAAGAGTAAATCAATGAATTACTATGTACTGTACAATGAATTTGTGATCGATGGTAGAGTAGAGTAAAAAGAAGCACATGTGCTAGTCGAGTCTGACTCTCGTTATCTAAAGCCTAAAATAAAGTTGATTGAAAAATACATGATGGGTTTCCAAATCCTTTAAATAAGATTTGTGTAAAATATTACAAGTAAAAGAAACGAGACTGGTTGATATATACAAATATATAATTACAAGTTTATATTCCGTCAACAAGAAAACCCTGTCAATACAATTAAACACAATAACATTTGTGTCCTACTTTGGCTCCGCATACATGTTTATTGTCGGTTACAAAATTAACTTCGAGACTTTATATATACAGGTGCACAGTTATATACATACACTATAGGTAATACAGATATAACAGTTCCGCTTACATGTTAAGTTTATTGAAACTTTTAGGATCATAACGGGGTTTAATTTGATTTATTTATATTTCAACTTCAACAAGGAAACCCTGTCAATACAATTAGATACAATTTTTGTCTTTCTTCGGTCCCGCATACATATTTATTGTTTTTTTTCACAAAATCTACTATTTTATGTACACAGGTACAAGGTTATATATACCGTGTGAGTCAAAAAAATAATTACACCTAGAAAATAGATAATTATTTAAAAAAATCATCTATGAACAGTAAATTATGTGGTATGTGTTCACGCTTGGATGAACATGAGGCATTGTTTGCGAGAGTGCAACAATCGGCTTGCGCCAAAGTGATGCCTACATCATGTATCATGTTGTGATCAGCGAAGTGAGAGAATGAATTGAAGGTATCAAATGAAATGCATGGCATATGCTTTTTGCATAAGCAAAGTCACACACAAACACACACACGCGCAAAAATGTTCTTTGATATTTGATATGTGTGACAAGATTAATTATGTTAGGGATGTTATTTGGATCTGCAAAGACCGAATTAATACCCAAATCCAAATTGTTTTATTCAAACATCACACAAGCAAATTTGGCGCAAATCGATTTTTGCACTCTCGCAAACTATGCCACATGTTCATCCAAGCGTGAACACATACCACACAAAAATGATACCAAATGATTTGGGATAAAACACTCTTTCATAAGATGTATAATTATTTACTGTTCATAGATGATTTTTAAAATAATTAACAATTTTCTAGGTGTAAACTTTTTTTGTTGGACTCGCACTGTATATACACACATACACACCCACACAAACACACCCAAAGTACCCACTCACCACAAATACACATCAACCCCATTTTACGCACAACCATGTGTTTAATGCAGTTGATCGAACCAACAATCAGATATCAAAGACTTATTCTTGAAGTACTTTCCTGACGTATATTCAAAGACATAACATGCATAACCCTACAGAGGCTATTAATTTTACTTGTATTTTCTCGTCATAAAATACATTGTAAACAGTAACAATCGTTACGCGGTTAAATATATAACGGAAATGACCGAATTCACGTTATTTTCTAGGTTGGCCTGGTTGTGTTTTATGAGTTTATAGGTCCTACATTAACTAGAGCCGTTATGTTCATAATCTGGGTTATCTAGAGTGAAATTATACACTAAACGTATGCTACTTTAAGTACCTTGACAATGCTTGCCATTCCTTAAGCAGTAATTGTCTGCTTTACCGGGTATGCCTATTAAAAGATTTCCATAGTCAATCACTAATTTACAACAGATGTATACAATAAAGTTATTTTTAAAGACCATTATTCCTGAAATGAATAAGAGCATTATTTGTTGTTTCGTTTATATCATAAATGTTATGAAAGTTATCATTAAGTTTGATGAAATGGATAATCATGAAGTCACATATATCATGCAATATCGTCTTTCGAACTGTTTATTAAGAGACTGAGGAGGATGAATTCTGTTTATGGTGAAATACTGATAACTCCATAACCTTTTTTCACGGAAAGGGGGGGGGGGCGGATAATAAAAGTAATGTCCAAGAGAAGGGATTGATCTTAGAATGTCCTCATTATGTTAATTACGAATACAAATAGATAAACTCTTTGGACTAAATTGTGTTACAAGTATAGTCCAATATATCCATATCTGTGTATGTGATTTACAAACAGAATTTTGTTCACTTCGTTATGATGTTTAGGAATATAAAACCACGCAATTTACACTAAAAATTATTCTTATGTAATATACATATACAATCGATCTCTTTGAGTCTGAATCCAGCTAGAACATTTCCTTTAAAAGGATATCGCATGACAAGTACTGAACATTAATTTCAAGTTCATCATTCATAGATGAACTCAAGATTCATGATTGATGAAAGGCAATCTTTTCAGACTGTCTTGGCTCATGACTATGAAGTGAATGAACGCGACAGCGAGTAAACATGCAACCGTCTTGCCATTCAACATTTGCTTTATTCTAGACCATAACGAACAGCTCTCTTTCGATATTGTCATTTCATACAATATATTTCTTTCTGCGACATCCAAACACTTCAAAAGAAATTTCAAATACTCAATGCTTCTTGCATCATCATGTTCATGATCCTTTTCGGTGTAGTTTTCGAAGACCCATATGTTTTCTTCTGCGAAACCAATCTGGGAATGAAGAAGCTCAAGCTGAGTTTGGAAATCTCTCTTTTGAGACTTCTTGTTTGTAGCCACAATCATCAGTTGTCTGTCTGGAAAAAGAAGAAGAATTAGGAGTATGTTAGAATCAGCACAGTTATGTTTTGTGTGTAATAACAATAGTGTAGATTCGGGGATCCCACAATCCAGAAGAATAATTTCTGTTATAATGAAAGATGAATCAATACAATGAATTCAATTCAGTTCAATAAGTTTACCCCTAGATAGTAACCTGAAAAGCTAATTTTCTATCGAAAACTTACCACCATGGGAATATCCTATAGTTGAAAGCTGTTGGAGAAAATCCTGCATGGGGACTTGTGAACAAGGACCGTGACTGTAAAATAGATGAAAAGAGAAGAAGAAGAAGAATCTTTGTATCTTTTATCTGCTATCTTTTTAGAGTATTTTGCTATTATGGTTGGGCTTTCCTTTAACCCTGAACATATCCCATCCTCACCCTAAACCTAATCTTAAACCTAACATAAAACCCAATAGCAGCCTAACTAAAGCCTGAAACAGTAAACCACTTAGGGGATACTATCTGCGCATGGGCATATACAGATTTTATCCCCCAAAAGGTCTTTATGAAGCACGAAGTGTGACTTCTCTTATGTTTAAAGAATTTGTAAATATTTGGGCATCATTTGTAAAAGTGCTATCTCCGACGTGGTTTATTGACACCGGAGCACATGTGGGATTACCAATACCTATAGAGGCAATGAAGGGATCCGTGTATGTCAGGACTAATAACTTATGATACGAGGAATTTAACATACATTGCCATATCAATAAACGGATTTGTATATCTAGCTTTAGCACTATCTGCAAAATACATGGACTGCAACATGAAAATGAGATAAAAGCTCTACGATTACGTGAAATCGGAGACGAAAACAGGGCAGTGCACCACTCTCCCGTTCGTTATCCTCTTATGGGGATCGAGTCCACGCTTGCCACCTGAAAAATAAAATAATTAATTTGATATAGCTCTTTTTCGCTTCTTCAGGAACCAATTCATCTTTGCAAACATAAGGTACTTGTTACTGAATATTCTTTCGTCGCCGTCTTTGACAAATTCTCAACGATTTATTTTCTTCTTAATTTACTATTTGTTATAATTAAGTTGTAAGTCTCAAAGGATTAAAAGGTTATCTTGTTTGAGCTCATTTTTTGGATATTTTTCACTGTCATTGTATCTTTAGATGAAGAAATCATTAATACTGCGTTTTTACATGGAACCCCGTTATAAACAAAATTTTCAGCTTCATGGTTTAACCTGTGTGATTATTATGATTGATAAGGTTTCGTTTTCATTTTATAATATCATTTTACTCCTTGTATCTATATTCCATTTTACTGGAATAATACATATTATTATGTATTATTGATATTATTATTATTATCAATAATTGTATTCTTATCATCGTTATCATTGTTGTTGTTACTATGGTACTTACATATCTGTGGTATCAAACTGCCTTTTATTTGCCCCAGTGAATAGTCTTTCATGGGTCTATTGTCCATGACATGGATGCAATTGGTGAGGCGCACAGGATCTCTATACCGGGTTCTGCTTCCCTGATTATCATATCTACCCTCAGCTGCAACGGTCTCGTATTCACCTGCGTGAGAAAAAATAGAATCAACACTGTTCCTATCGTCAAAATCAAGCAAAATTTGAAATCAATAAAGCAAATTTTAATTAAAAAGATCATTTGTATTTGATAACAAACTTCAATGACTAATTGCAACACCAAATCTCCCCAGAAGTAAGTACTATTAAGAAAAAAACAAAACAAAGTTATCTTACTTTTACAGTATTAATTTATGTTTATTACTACATTCCTGGCACAGCCGATTTGAGAGGGATTAACCACGATCAGAAAGGTCCGGAACATCTATTTAGGTAAATGTGAGGTAATCACCTTTAACATGACATTTCAGAAAATGTGACCATGAAGGTTGTCAATTTCTTTGGTTGGTCACAGCATTAGTTGTCCATTTACTAACCTTTCAAAGCGAATTTGAGTGAATTGATGAAAGCGGATTTTCCAACACCCGCAACGCCAAACAGTCCGATATTAATCACTGGGGGAAATGTTTCATCCCATACAGTGTCTGTGCTTTTCCCAGGTGTATAGTCCTTAAGCGTCTCTCTTAGTTTATTCAACTCGGTTCTGTCTTCATCTGGAAAATTAAATGCCAACGTGAACACATAAAATATAGTAAAATTGTATACAATAAGTATCAATATTTAAAGCTTAATGTACAATATTCTGCATTTGAATAGGAAATATTTAAATATTTGAATATTTAAATTCATAAAACAAACAGAAAACGCTTGTTTTTTTCCTCTCTCTTTCTCTCTCTCTCTCTCTCTGTCTATGAAAAGTCAATCAGTTGTCAAGGAATCGACCTCATGTGTTTGGGCATTTTTCGTGTGGGAATGTAAATAGATAGTCTGACACACACGGCCTATGTATGGGACCCTGATATCATCAAAGACGGCATCGTTCTTTGAATGAGACTTTTAACCATACATTGTACATACAACAAAATGAAGATTCCATTACTCTTGTGCCATTTCGCGCCCAAGCTCAAACTTACCACTCGATGCATCGCTCTGCTGGGCTTGCACCTCTTCTTGAGCAACGTCAGTCATTGGGAGATATCTATCACACAGGTCACTCCTGCCGGCCATCTTCAGGATATGACTCAAGGCGGCTTTCTCCGTTGAAGACGTCTGTGTTTCACGCCAAGCGATGAGCATTCTTAATGTTCCCTCGTCCTTTGCATCAGCTGTATTTGCTGCTTTGTAGCCGGCGATATCAGTAGCTGACATTCCAAGTGCTGCTCCTAAATTATCCATTTGTTCATCTGTGCTCGTTTCTGTAGCAATGTCTTTCAGAATATCATCGAAATTATCCATCCTCTTTGGGATTATGCTAGCTATGTAAGAAACACATACGTAAAATGAAACATATAGGGATATAATTTTTAGATAGAATATTCAACAAGTAAAGATGTTGAGAGCCAGAAGACCGATATCTCATATACTTTTATTTAGAGTTAATGCCTTTCCGAAATCCTTTTGTCGAGAATAAGTTCACCTTATTGTCCACATAAAGGTTGTGTTTAGAAAAATATTTTAACATAAGGAATCTTCCTTTAAAAATAATTTGTTACCACTGAAATTGTGTACATTTGTATTTGGGAAATATAGTAAGCAAATTAGTTGGCCGTTTTGGTATGTTTGGACATTGAACATGTTGTTATTGTTTAGAAAATACATGAAGTTAGATAAAACGTGCTTTTTGGGGTCCAATTACGGTAATTATAAAACAGTTTGTATCCTTACAGCTGTGACCAGATTGTCTTTAGCACGGATGACGTCATTTCAGTATATACGCACACACACACGCGCGCGCCCATACCTATACGCACGAAATAAAAAAAGAGTAGGCTCTTTACTATTCGTTTCATTCGCTGTGAACCAAATTTTGTTCGTTTTTACACAGCTGGGGCCTAGCTTGCAGCCAATTACTGATTTAAAATAATTTTCATGCTTTCTGTTAAATTAACAGAGTATTAATGGTTTCAGAAATGTTTATTTGTGCCCTCGGTTATAATAAATAATGAAATTCTTTTCTTTGAGAACCAGTCTACCATAGCACGCCTAACATTAGGAAAAGACTGTAAATATGGCTTAAACTTAGCAGGGGCAGGGATAACGATGTTTGCTCAGTCTTGCATTCCTTTTTGTCCTTATAAAAAGGAAATCAGCACAGTCCAATTGCAATGTACACAATTTCAAGATCAAATTATACCTTGTGCTTTCGGTTGAAAACGTGGTAGAGCGCACATAATTCGATTTAAAGGGCCACTCTAACCCAACCAACATAAAGCCTTTTAAAACATGAATAAACCTATACTTTTTAATATTTCAGCCTCTAATTTTTCAGAAAATCTCTGTATTGACCCCCCAAAATGATAATAACCATCCATTTTTCACAGTTCTCATGCTTGCTGGGCTACGCCCCTCGAAAAAGGGTAACACGGTTACGTGGCCTTGATGACGCATTTGACATCATTGCGGGCATGCCCGATTTGTCCTACAACTAAGGATCTTACAATCTCATTGTAATTCAAAAATGAACCAAATTGGAATTATTAAGTGCATATTATTTTTCGGATAAATTTCTTTCCCCCCCTCAATTAATATCATAGTTTGCCTCGTAATGTCTAAATCACCCTCCTCTTCACCGGAGAGGCGCCTGCAGTGACTTCATATGCTATTGTGCAATACAGCTCCAAAAAATGGGCCCTTTTTCTGAGCGTTCTGATTCGTCATATTTAAAGCTAGATTTTATAATTATTAATGATTTCTAAGAAAAATCATTGTCATGTTCGGAATCTCCGTCAAAAATTATTTTACCTGGCTTTTTTCCATTTTTTTAAAGCCCATTTCCGATTTGTAAGATATAAACAAAGCAGGTGTTTATGTGTCAGAGGAAGGATGTCAATTTTTTTTTCACAGGCAAAAATGTCAGAAGTAAAAATGTCAAAGGTACAAATGACAGAGGTAAACATGTAAGACTTACAAAAGTCAGACTTAAAAATGTCAGAGGTACGAATGTTACAGGCAAAAATGTCATAGGTAAAGATATCAGAGGTTAAAAATGTCAGAAGTAAAATGTTAGAAGTAATTTTATCACGTGATTTTATTTTTACCAATCTTGACCCAAAAAATTGTAGTATTGTCATTGTCAAATAGAGATTTCAATGCATTATGATAAATAATTAATCAAGTCAAACTTAGTGCAACGATATTGAAACGTCACTTTCCAAAAAAGCCTCGGAAAATGAATGCTTGATGAAGAAACGTTCTTAGTACTTTTGAAAAGTACTGCAATATGGAATGTGTGTATATAGGATAATCGGCATTATTTATAGCCATTCAGGTTTTTTGGCCTGAATTATTTGTATTTCAAATTGCATCAGCGTAGATCTTCATTGACTCAAATTTCATGAAATACTATTATCACCTCTGGCCTCTGACAATGAAAGTAGGTAATTTCATGGAACCAAGAGTTCTAAATAACTGAACATTTTCAGCACATAGGATGAAGAACGAATATAATATAAGTGGAAAGAGTTACATAATGGAAGTGAAATAGCAAGTAAGAACCCATTGAACAGCAGATAAATAATGAAAGAGGATTTTGACCAGTTGACCAACTGAAGAAAATCAAAATGTTTAATTGTTTTTTAACAGCTTTCATATTTTTACAATTGGATTTAAAAATATTTATATAGATAAATATGATTATATCTTTAATGTTAGTATTATAATCATCAATATTATAATTATTAATATCATAATCATTATCAATAGTAGTAGTAGTATGCCTTATCAGTTGAAAAGGGAAATTGCTTACGTTAAGGAATCACATTTTCAGAAAAATCTCAATCTTGAAAAAACAGTATTAAAGAGAGAAAGGCACAATCTATTTTCCAGTAAGAAGTACTTTTACAACACTTAAGTTTCCTATCAACCATTTATCAGATTTAAAGTTCATTTACCTTTACTAAGTTCAATTAGCTTTAATTATCAAATAATCAGCTATTCTGTAACAATGCTATACAAAATTCGATATTATTGAATTTGATGAATGGTAGACAGGAAACCTTATCTTATCATCTCATTATTATTTTTTAAATGTCATTGCCTTGGCATTGTCCTTCCTTTTTTGTAAATATTATGTTATATAATTCTTAATCTTTTACTTAGTGTAAAATACCAAAGCTTTGTATTTAATCACAACATATTTATCCTAGATGTAGAATAGCTTGTAGCTTTAGTATGTATTCAATAGTTATTCATATTTATCTCTTACATTCTCATTCATTGCTGTGAAACTTTCGTATGTCAGTGGTACAAGACACGATTAGCATTAAATGCTACTTTCTGGTCCCATTTATCCTTTCAATGTTAACCATTCACATTTCATTGTTATGTTATTGATGTACTTTTTTTTTTGGATTACAAACTTCAAACTCAAACTCAACTCAACTCAACTCTATAATATATCTATTAAAAATAGAAGATTCTTTGGACATATTATTCCGTTACACTTGGAATTTACCAAAAGTCAATCATTGTTTTTTCTCTTTTTTCACTGCGTACTCGCTACACGTTCTGATGTGCACTAAAGCAGGGCTTATACTTAGCCGAGTTGGAGCCACGAGTTGTGGCGACCTGGCTCGATCTTATGGCAAGCAGTTTTATCATTAAAACAGATTTCTTGATATCACGAAATCGAATTCTTGATATTACGAATTCAATTCTTGATATAATAATAATAATACTAATAATGATAATCTTTTTTAGTCCACTCCAAATTTTATTAAACCGAAATGAAAATTATTTTTTGATATCAAGAAATATGTTTTAATGATAAAACGGCTTGCCACAAGATCGAGCCAGCTCGCCACAACTCGAGGCTCCAACTCGGTTAAGTGGGAGCCCTGCTGACTCGCCGTTCAGTTTTAAATATATCAGTGAAGCATTAATGCTAGCAGCTTACCTCTTGTATTCCGTGTTGAACTGATGTTTCACTTCTAATCACACTTATTTCTAAGCTCATGGACGTGCTGAAAGAATTGGAGAAACCAGGATGAAAATTTAGCTTTAGTGGAATTATCTGCAACTCGGGATCGTACATTTGTGCACTGCACACGAGAAACGTGTTATGATGAGGTCACATGGCCTTTTCAAAAGGTACGATGTTCGGAAAAACCCAAGTCTCCCTTTGTTTACTAACCAACTATAGTAGCATGTTTGTAAAAGCTGAACAAAGACAACTCTACGCACAAAACTATACGGTCATTTATGGGTGGTCATGATGAATATCACGTGAAGAGACAAATGCTGCCAACGTTTGGGGGTTTGATTTTAACTGGTATTTATTTTATGATTGCAGTAGTATTTGAATGAAAACCATCGAACTAGTTTATTTAAATTTGAATAGGCTTACAAATGGAAATACATTTTCGGCTTACTAAAAAGGAAGGGAATGCATGTATAAACATAGCATGATGTATTTACAATGTGTCCTGCTGTATACAAAAGCCCAACGCACACTAGACGAACTGTCTGCGATCCGATTGAGGAAGAATTTGCAAAAGCAATTGATATGATTTTACATAAAAAATATTGTGTACTCTGTATGTTTTGGGTTCAAAACCGATAATCTATATCAAGATACCACTGTTTATATCAATGTTGTTAATACGTATATGAAGAGATAAGGGAGTCGACCTCAAAGAAAAAAAAAAGTATAATGTTTTAAATATATAATTTGTTAATACGGTCGGGCTCCTTTGGATAAAGAATGTGAAGTCCTGATGTGCCATGTTAGGGTTGCGGCTGTTCTTTTGACTTTGTTAGCATTTTCTCTTTCTTCTGCCAACTGTTTTACAATGTACAAACTTCATAGTGGCGGATCTAGCTTTTTGCTAAGGGGGGTGGGGGGGGGGGGGGGTGGTGACCCAATGACGATGCAGCATTGTTCACGAGCCGCGAAGGAAGCGGCGAGGCGATTTGTGTGGCTCTATTTTGAACCTCTTGTGGAGCATCGTCAACGAGCCGCGTAGCGGCTAGGCGATATTTTTTGGGCTATTCTGAAGTGATGTTTTCCTGGCATCTGCTCACACAATGGAGACCATAAAAAGTCTGGACACATGATGGCGTTTTTCTACGCACATCACATTTTCACTTGGCAGCCCAAGGGGGTGGGGGGGGGGGGGGGTAGGGGTAACCCCCTCTAGATCCGCCCCTGTAGATCCGCGCCTGCCTACTTATTTCTCTCCATATCAGATGGGTAGGGTTCATACTTTGTTTTGAGCATTGTACTCTCATATTCACATTTTCTAAGCAATATTATAGAATTTGTCCGGACAGATTGGTTATCCAGACGGGACGATTTCCAAACTGGTAAAGTGAAGAAAAAAAGTTTACAACCGGGGATAACGAGAAATCTTTCATAAATCTTTTAAGACTTAAGTTGGGAAATATTATAATGGACAAAATGTTATGATGGTTACTGCTAATTGATGAATATCTTTTGTTAAATGCGAAGATAAAAGGGAAGGCTCAATTGTTGTCAAGTGTCAGGACACACAACCCCAATCACACAAACTAATAGTAATTCTTTGATATCTTTGAGTTTATGTTACCAGATTTTCAGTAGCTCTGAGCATGTTTACTAGTATATACTTAAGCAACATCTTTTAGGATTTTAGCTTATATTAAACTGTACGTGCCAACTGTGTTGCCTTTGATACAATAAATCTTCATTCAGAAACTGCTTTTAAAGAAGCTGTAAACACAGATTGAAACTTTCCTGGAACTTTGGAAGTTCCTACAATGTGCAGTATTTACAAAGTGCGTGCTCGCATGAGAACGCGTTTGAATCATAGGTTTAAATCTATTCATACGCAAAGGAAACAATCTACGCAATAAGTGCTCGGATTCAATAACATGCCTGATAGCTGAAAGGGCTCATGACATCGAAATACAAGTGTATTCCTGTTGGTGTGCAGTCCTGCATACATCTGATATGTAATCTTCTGAATCTGTTTCATAGAATTTCAAATATTTTTTGAAACATTTGTTTTTCAAACTTGCTAAGCTCCACCCCAAAAATCTCCAGATCCATTCCCCTTGTGACATCATGTGTCAGTCATCAATGAGCTAACTTGAGAAAGTGGTATGTATCTTTGCCGAAGTCGACCACCTGTTACAATACGTAATACAATAGCAACATACAATTTGCTATGTTTACATTTCAAAATTTACATTTTAAAATATGAGATGTATGTAGGACTGCACACCAACAGGAATACACTTGTATTTCGATGTCATGGGCCCTTGAAATCAGAGAGGCTGACAGGAATGCAGCGACTTACTGGACCATATACTGCTACAGCTGACCTGAGATGGCGCTAGAGGTGATTTTGCGGTAGTGCTTCTAGTATGGTATGGCTTCAGGAGAACTATATTGCCTTCGCCTCTTAACTCATGGCAATATGATTCTGTTGCGGGTAATATATTCTGATATCTCCCTTACGGCCGTCCAATATTATATAAATATACTGTATAATGTAATATATAGAAGAGGCCTAGCCATCGATTTCTTGTTAAGAATGTGCTCAGCGATATATAACGCCAGCATATCAAAGTTCTGAACGATTTACTACGAAATGAAGTAACTATCAGATTCCCTAATTTTGAATAAAATTACTTTGAATAAAATTAATTTCATATTTAGGTTTTACGGAAACGTTGGAGTTCAATTCAATTTTTTAATTTTATATGCCAAATACTAAATATTTTCCAACATATGCAAACATAGCGTACTCTCACTAAATTCTAAGTTATTATCGTTCTCTTGAACAATACATTTATGTTAAAAATAACAAATTTGTATTGATTGATAATTGGTGGAAAAAACATTGTGTTGCTTAAAAAAAAAATTAAAATAAAAAATTATCTTGTATAATCAGCTATATTCTTGTTGTTGATTCTATTGGTTATATTATGTATGTATATTCATATATGGTTTGTTATGTTTTGTAAAGTCGAAAGCAATATTGAATAAAGATGATTTTATTAAAAAAAAAGAAAAAAGATTCCCTCATTTGAATGGGATCGATAGAACATAATATATACAATCAATTACAGAATATAAAGTTAAATTTGTTTTACATCCCTTCGATAGGTATCAAAGTACAATGTATTCAGTTAATAACACGTCTTTTTTGTGTCATATTAATCAACACTCTGAGGTTTCCTAAATGTTTTTTTTATTAACAATATAGAGAGACTAATACATTTTTTCCTTAAATTATTAATTTTATAATGGCAGTTAAAATCTACGAAACTCATCCATAAGCATAATAAAAAGGTTATAAACAAACATTTAAAAAAGCACCAGATTCTTGAGTAAGGAGCGCTATTGAGGCGATTTATTTTTGATTTCTGTAACCTCTCCTACAATATCTATTCCCCAATCCTCCGTGAGTATATATACGTTCATATTTATAGCTTGACATATTATGATAATAGCTAATCATTGTAATTGTTATCACAAAGAGCAAATTAAATGACTATGACTTCAATGTAATTTACCATTTACATGTACCAAGACAGAAGGTAAGCTTTTTCAGAGTTAATTCAGCGCTACATAATAATATACGATTCTACTTTACAAGGAGTAAATTATATCCATGAAAATCGATTCATTTATAACTCGCAGTCGCCGTCATTATGACCATACTATTATTATGAAAGCAATTGTAAAGACTCTTCAAATATCAACCGAAGGCGGTTTGAATGTCTGGTCCATTACAAAATGCAATCATAATTTCTACAGGCTATACATTAGGGTATCGAATGACCTTGAGTTAATTTATCGAAAGTATCTGTTCACCTATGTAATAAAGTGTCAACGGAGTTTATTTTTTTGCCTACTGATTTGAGGCTGTATATATACATGATTAGAATTGTATTGACTCTATGACCCCCTCTCGGGGTATGAGTGAACAAACAAACACTACAAGTTTGAATAGCAATGCACGACTTGTGAATACAATTCTTATACATTATACATAGATAATAACACAAAAATACAAACGATATTAGGTATATAGTGTGTGAAAGTACAAACGTGAAAAATGTAACCAAATAGTAAACACAATATATACACAATGTAGATAGGGACAATAATAAAATGTATAAGTATAATGCAGTCTATCTACAAGCTTAAGAGTAAATAAAGTATGCTGTTTCACTATCCTACCGCTACGAGTAAGTGTAGGTTCAGCTCTAATTGTACTACCTGAAATGCTTGAATTATCTCCTTTCTCTGTTTTTAAGAAAATTTCAATATAATGAGGCGAGTAAATCTCGCTGAATTCTTCAACTGAGAAGTGCTTGAATATGTATTATAACCTCTTTGCATAAAGTTGAAATAACTTTGTCTTTTCTCTTTACATTAAACTATTATTTACAATATGGTCCATTTGAATAACCCAGGCCCTCTAGCAGAAGAAGAAAAATATTTCCTCATCAAATGACAAGAGGCAGGGTCACGAATACAATGAAATACAGTGTCGGGGGGGGGGGGTACGATTTTGTACAAATTATCTTTATTTGCTAATGCGCAGTCATATTCTACGAACTGGTGAATACAATTCTTATACATTATACATAGATACTAACACAAAAGGTACAAACGATACTAGGTATATAGTGTATGAAAGTACAAACGTGAAAAATGTAACCAAATAGTAAACACAATGTATACATATAATGGAGAAAGCGACAATAATAAAATGTATATATAATGCATTCTATTTACAAGCTTAAGAGTACAAAAAAGTAGGCTGTTTCACTATCCTACCGCTACGAGTACGTGTAGGTTCAGCTCTAATTGTACTACTTGAAATGCTTAAACTATCTCCTTTTTCTGTTTTTGAGCAACAATAATGGCGGATCCAGGATTTGTTGGGGCAGGCAGAAACAGTTATGCATATTTTCTCATAAACAACTTAGTATAAAAACATGCTTCATTCTCCTCAGAATTTTCTGACAAGCAAAGAAACAATCGAATTGTTAGAGTACACATCCCCCGAACAACAAACAAAAATTCAATTTTAGGGGAGGGAGTTCGCTTTTTGGAGTAGGAATCGTAGATGTAGGAGCAGCTGGGGGGGGGGGGCACACATTTAGGGCACATTTTGTTGTTATACTTGCAATATTTCTCATTGGATTTAGCCGGGGAATGTGCTCCCGTGACCCCTGGATCCGTCATCAATCAGAACACTTTACATGACTATGTACACATTCAGAAACCTCCGAAAAGTACTTGGAAGAGTGTTATCTATAAATAGTTAATGCATTCAGCTAAATGGTAGGATCTATGATGACTCAATAGAGGCATTTACACTGTCTTCCAAACACGCCAAAAAATGCCAAACCGGAGCCTGGCCGCGATGTTACCAAGGGCAACTACGCTTTACCGGCAGAAACGCCAAGCCCCAAACATTCCAAAACGAAGTGTGATCTTTTGGCGTGTTTTGGCGTGTTTTGGCGTGTTTGCCCAATAAACAGAACACCAAAAAGTAACCTCTTTTGGGAGTGTATTTTAAGTGATTTTAAAGTATAGTGCCTTTTGAACTAGATTTGAACGTTATCGACACGTGCCTTCATTTAAACAAAACGGTACTCCTGTTCACGTTTTCATCTAACCTAAAAACCACCAGTTTATCACGCGACTGGAGTAACGTGATTCCACTTACCTCTGTAAATCAAGTGTTTATGACCAAATAACCACTTGACCAAGCAACGAGTTTTTTGTCAGTTAACCGATGGTGGCGATAAATACGTAATTATTTGGTCTTGTAAGCACCTTTATTGATTGGTTTCACACGTTATCCAAGGTTGATGGTAATAATCACGTTACTTACACCGGCTAATCGTCTTATTGTTCTGTCCGTGAATCTCTGGTTATATTCAACTAGTAATTCTGAGGTGTCTTACACACCTCTTTAAAAGGTTTCAAAGTTACCATAAATTTCTTGGTTATGATCACGTGGCTCAAGCTGATTACTAATCTAAGCTGTGAAAACGTGATATGTAGGTGTGAAAATTAGTAATTATTAAGTGTTTTAAAACACCTTTTTAAATGGTAGTCAAAGTTGCCATAAGTTCCGCGGTGATGATCTCGTGACTCAAACGGATTATTGATCTAAGCTTGTCATACGTGACTTTTAGGGGTGAAAAATTAGTCATTATTAGGTGTCTTAAAACACCTATTTAAATGGTTTCAAAGTTACCACAACTTTCTTGGTGATGATCACGTAGTTAAAACTGATTACTAATCTAAGCTGTGAATCCGTGATATTTAGGTGTGAAAAATTAGTCATTATTAGGTGTATTAAAACACCTATTTAAATGGAAGTCAAAGTTGCCATAAGTTCCGCGGTGATGATCTCGATCGTGACTGAAACGGATTATTAATCTAAGCTGGGCATACGTGACTTTTAGGTGTGAAAAATTAGTCATGATTAGGTGTCTTAAAACACCTATTTAAATCGTAGTCAAAGTTGCCAGCAGTTCCGCGGTGATGATCGCGTGACTCAAACGGATTATTAATATAAGCTGGGTATTCCGTGTTTTCCATGTGTGAAAATGAGTTATTCTGGGGTGTCTTGATGGTTTCACAGTTACCATTTAAGTTCCGTGGTGATAATCCCGTGACTGTTGGCATATTTCTATGTTCACCAGTTGATAACTGACTGTTGGCATATTTTCATTGCACCAGTTGATAACTGGATTGTGCATATTTCCAGTTGCACCAGTTGATGACTGAGCGTCGGCATATTTCGAGTTGACCCAGCTGACACCAATTCATTTGCATATTGAATATGGGGTGCGTGCAGATCTATGTTTTTTAAACAATTTATCTGAATTTACAGCATATTTCTTAATTACTGATGATTTAACTATATGCAATTCATTTCGAAAATACTACAAATATAAATTTCCAGTTATTAGGACATTTCGCTACTTTGTATAAATAGTTAAACATGAATAAGGGAAACATTAACTGTGAACTAAAATAATTTCAATAAAGTACAAGTATACGATTTTTTTTCTCGATTAATTCAATTATGTAAGTCTACTTATTACCAATGCCCTTACATTGGAAATAAAGACGTACCAGTATTGAAGTATTGTTGCTGTTCAACTGGTTGGAAGTTTTACCAAATGGTTCTAATGGCTCAGCTAGACCAGTTGAATTATAACTGGCCTGGATCAACTGGATCATTTAGCCCATTTCAATTTCCAGGGTTACCAGTTGGCATTAAATGGTTCATCAACTGGACCAGTTGCAACTAGCTTTCTCTTCTGGGATGTTTGCACCCACCCTCCCCCCACCCACCCCCTCTAATCCCAAACTGCTTCCGGCGCGCCTGGACGTAATTATGGAAGATCAAGACACGATGTTCAGAAACGGGATGAGAACGTCATTATTTTAGTTCATTTATTGTGTAACATTTGCGTAATTGTTGGGTTGAACGCGGGTTACAGTAACATACTTCCTCTTCGACGTAAATTTCACGTGAATGAAGAACATGATTCATCTCAAGTCAGCCTCGTAATATTCACGTGAATTTCACGCAGATATTTTGACTAAAACTATCACTACAGTCACACGGCCATGTTACGGACCTGCGGATGCCTGCGTATATTTGGATAATGAAAATGCGTAATTTTTAACCCCAATACGGAAATTTGAGCAAAAGTTACCTATATTCTGCGGACGATACGGATTAGTTACGGATGTTACGTATGAATTACGGATGTTACGGGTAAAACCTGCGGATGAACCCATCCGCTGCCAACCCGCTGACACATGTTACTGACGACTTACGGATGACTTACGGATTTTACGGATGACTTACGGACGATACGGATGACTTACGGACGATACGGATAAGTTACGCTCGTGTCTGCGCATGTCGGCTTCCTCTGGCGTCCGCACCATCCGCATATAAACCCACGTGGATCGGAGCTTGCTTCAGTCGCATTTCATCAAGTCTGAGATCTAGTTCCAGTTATTCAACAGTTTCTTCTCCATCTTTTTGGACTTTCGTGTGCATCATGTCTGGCAGAAGAAGTAGCAGAAAAACCTGCTCAGCGGATGCCTGGTCTCTCAGGAGGTTGTGGATGCACAGGCAGGCGAGGACGATGGTCTCCACTGTGGAAGGCACCTGTGCCATAGCACTCAGAAGACACCGGAATCTGTTTGCAAGAATGCCAAAGGCATTCTCCACACATCTCCTGGCTCTGGAAAGTCTATAGTTAAATATCCTCTCCTCCATGGTCAGTGGCTTGGCACCAAAAGGCTTCATCAGGGTGGTGCGTAGTGCAAATGCAGCGTCAGCAATCACGAAATAAGGGATGTCTCGATCATCATGAGGCAGTGGCTCATCTGGTGGTATTCCAATGTTCTCATCGTCAATTGCCTCTTTCAGACTGCACGTGTTCCAAATCTGGGCATCAGAACTCGCACCACCTGCTCCCACCTCCACCCACCGGAACTTGTAGTTGCCATCAACCAGGGCAAGGAGTACAATCGAGTTGTACCCCTTATAGTTGTAGAACTGGGAGCCACAGTTCGCGGGTGCCTTGATGCGGATGTGCTTGCCATCTAAGGCTCCCAGGCAATGGTGGAAGTTCCACCGGTCGGAGAAGGTCTGGGCAATGCCCTTCCACCCCTCTGGAGTAGATGGGTTGCTGATGGTCTCCTCGCCATACTCAGCGTAGATGGCCTGACACACGTCCAACACCAAGAGTGAGATGGTGTTGTGGGGGTACATAGAATAGGTACATCAGGCTGTGGTAGGAGTCCCCACTGGCAAGGTAGCGCATGGTGATGGCGACCTTCAAGCCTACTGGAAGGGCCTTCCTGTACCAGGTATCATACTTCTGTAAGCGAGGAGTGAGGCGGGTGACCATTTCGGCAAACATGGCAGGTGTGATGCGGGTGAAGTTGCGGAAGCCCTGAACATCCTCATTGCGTAGCAGGTGCATCAGGTTACCATAGGCACCCTGGTGTGGTAGCAATGTGATCCAGTGACGAACTCAACACATCCTCTCTTTTCTCCTTTCAAGAATGGCTTGCATCTTGGCCATCAGGATCTTCATCTGCATCTGATTGTGTTGGATGGCCATCAAACAATCCAGCAACACAAGGCGGCGTTCTCTCTCCATCTTGAGTGACCTGTGAAAGTCTACAGTTGAAGAACTGACAATGATGAGGATGCTGGCAGCATCCAGGGTTGCATACCCAAGTGAAGACCATTTGGCATGGGCGACATCCGCCGAAATGAAAGAAGACATAGGTAAAAATTCCGCATATTATCCGTATCTCAACCGTAACATACATATCCAATCCGTAACATCCGTATCCCATCCGTAATATTCGTATCCCATCCGCAAGCATACGCAATTACCGCAAGTCCTATCGTAAGATCCGCAATATATATGTCAAAAATACGTTAAACATACGTAACTCCTACGTAATAGTGTTTACGTACCCCTATGTATCCGCAGGCATCCGCACACCCGACAAAGTGTGCGGATCAGTTACGTATCTAACGTATCCTGCGGATGAGTTTACGTATCTTACGTATGAGTTACGTATTTTACGTATGGATAACGTATATTCTGCGGATGCTTACGTATATTTCATCCGCAGCAAAATTTTGAGATTTTCAAAATTCCGCTGCGGATCTGCGTATGTCTGCGGATCCTGCGGATTGAATTACGGATGGATACGGATGCTTACGGATGATACGGATCCTTGCGGATGCTTACGGACTTTTATCCGTAAGCATCCGCAGCTACCGTAAGTGGCCGTGTGACTGTGCCATAAGGCTTCACGTGTTTCTGTGACGCGATAATTTCGTGTATGAAGATGTAATTTCATAACCAAACAAACACGGGAGTATTAGGTTTACAAACCATGGTCTCCAAGGTAGGGATAATCACGTTATTATAATGGTGATATTGCAGTGACAATTGCGTGATTTAGTGTACGTGTGTTTTAAGTTACCTAATGCAAAAAACGTATTAACACATTTACGTAAATGTCCGGTGTTTGAAGAACGTAACTCTCCTCAAGTCGATACCTTGATATTGACGTGATTTTCACGAGATTTTGTTTATTGGGTGGCAAGTATAAACGCTCGCAGTTGTAACATCGCGATGTTAGGTAAAGTGACTTGAGGAGCGGGGCTAGATGTCGTCCTTTTGAAGACAATGATAGAACGATTAATACAAAGAATAACATAAGAGAAGGTGACAGAAGGAAGAAACTAAGAATAACATAAGGATAGACAGAAAGAGAAAGTGATAGAAGGAAGAAACAAAGAATAACATAAGGATAGACAGAAAGAGAAAGTAATAGAAGGAAGAAACAAAGAATAACATAAGGAAAGACAGAAAGAGAAAGTGATAGAATGATTAAAAAACAAAGAATAACATAAGAGAAGGTGATAAAAGGAAGAAATAAAGAATAACATAAGGAAAGACAGAAAGAGAAAGTGATAGAAGGAAGAAACAAAGAATAACATAAGGAAAGACAGAAAGAGAAAGTGATAGAAGGACGAAATAAAGAATAACATAAGGAAAGACAGAAACAGAAAGTGATAGAAGGAAGAAATAAAGAATAACATAAGGAAAGTGATAAAAGGAAGAAATAAAGAATAACATAAGGAAAGACAGAAAGAGAAAGTGATATAAGGAAGAAACAAAGAATAACATAAGACAAGGTGATAGAAGGAAGAAACGAAGAATAACATAAGGAAGGACAGAAAGCGAAGGTGATAGAAGGAAGAAACAAAGAATAACATAAGGAAAGACAGAAAGAGAAGGTGATAGAAGGAAGAAACAAAGAATAACATAAGGAAACACAGAAAGAGGGAGTGATAGAATGATAAAAAACAAAGAATAACATAAGAGAAGGTGATAGAAGGAAGAAACAAAGAATAACATAAGGAAACACAGAAAGAGGGAGTGGTAGAATGATAAAAAACAAAGAATAACATAAGAGAAGGTGATAGAAGGAAGAAACAAAGAATAACATAAGGAAACACAGAAAGAGGGAGTGGTAGAATGATAAAAAACAAAGAATAACATAAGAGAAGGTGATAGAAGGAAGAAACAAAGAATAACATAAGGAAACACAGAAAGAGGGAGTGGTAGAATGATAAAAAACAAAGAATAACATAAGAGAAGGTGAAAAAAAGAAAAAATAAAGAATAACATAAGGAAACACAGAAAGAGAAAGTGATAGAAGGAAGTGATAAAGAATAACATAAGAGAAGGTGATAAAAGGAAGAAATAAAGAATAACATAAGGAAACACAGAAAGAGAAAGTGATAGAAGGAAGTGATAAAGAATAACATAAGAGAAGGTGATAGAAGGAAAAACAAAGAATAACAAGGAAAGATAGAAAGAGGAAAGTGTTTGCATCGGAGTGCTGCGCATGCGCATTACCAACTGAAACACGCCAAAACATCACTGAGCTTTTCAGTCGGTGATGTTTCCGCACAAGTGTAAACGGCTGCGTGAAACATCGCGACTTTTCAAAATGAGGTATTTGACAGTATAAATGCGCCTAATAAAGACAATATGCACGGTTTATGATTTAACAGGTGATTTCATTATCTGAACATTATTTGATTACCGAATAGTATACCAAGATGCCATTGCCCGTTTACTATATGAGCCGTTACAATATGTACATGTTTACATTGGGTACGTTTATTATCAAGTCTTAATCAAATTAACTATTAAGGTATAGATTTCAATTTTTGTTTCTCTTTCAAACAATGCTCAAATGAAATATGACATTGGATTAATAAAGACATAGAAACGAACAGGCATTGCAATCTGTCATTGTAAAGTGGCGTTATAGAGAAGAAGCCTCATTCCGTTTAGTAAAAGTGAATGCCTCGCACAATGACGTATATTATTATATACCTCATACATAGATTGTCATTCACTGATTGGTCAAAACTATATCACATGTCAAGGAGCATTTCGATCTGTCAAGTATCATTACGTCAGAGGGTTTGATAGCTACTATCAAACCCTGGGATAGGACCCCTAACCCCTCCCGCGACTTAGTTGAGCACACAAATTGTTTGAGTTGCTAGGCTACCGCAATCGCGCGGTTACGCGCAGCGCGTAGGAATTCAATACTCTTGCCTTGGACTTGATGTTGGATTTTTCTTATTCTGGTGGGTTAATTCCTCTTGATCTCATTTCCTGTTTTTTTAAAAGCTAGATCTAGACCTACAGCTAGACCTAATCATGAATCAATAAAAAGGATGAGGTATATAAAACAAATATGGACTGCTATGTAATCGGATGGTGGTGGGAACTACCACTCCCTCGGTGGTGTTCACACCGGCCCTTTTATCACCACCACCTTGGGAGTGATAGTTCCTACCATCATCCTCATGAGCAGTCAATATTTGTATACTAGTACATACTGCCAGTACTAAGGCTTCAGCACGATGCCTAGAAATTTTTTTTTTCTTTTTTTTTGGCTTTAATATTTATCTCTCCTATTTCCAAGCACGTGCACAGAAACTTCAAATATTCAATACTTTTCATTGCATCGTGAGCGTGACAATCTTCAGTATAGTTCTCGAATGTCTGTATGGAATTACTTGGAACACCGCCGTCATCTATAATCAAACGCACTACTTCCTCCAAGCTTCCATCTGCTTCTGCAGAGCCATCCAGTTTACTTTTATGAGTGACGGCAACCATTACGTTACGACCTGTAAAAACGAAACAAACATAACACTTTGTTAAGAACAAATGAAATTCAATGGCTTTCTAATTATCTATTACGATTTAAATACATGTGTCCAATAGAACATACATGGCACAGGGGTGGTGCAATTAGTTTGGATAAAGTAACCTTTAATCTCGGTAGCCTGCTAGCTTTTTTTTTATAGATCCATCTCTCTTAAAGGCAGGCTTTACTACTTCAGCCAGAAGGGATTAGACCACCCAGCGAGCCAGCGATGTCACTGTGACAGGTGGCTATCTCATTAACTCAGCTCTCATTTAACATAAGAAAAAAAGGATCACGGGGGACCAACAGGCACGGATTGGGGAAGTTTTCTATATAGAGGGAGCAGGTAGCTACAAGTAGGACAATTTGCCTTTAATCTCTAAACATGAGGGATACTTCCGTGATTGCTGGAAGTAGACGCGACTGCTAGCATGTCGAGTAACGATTAGATCTCGAACTTGTCAGTCTAGCAATATTACTGCTCTGAAGTTTATTGATTATAATATCCATGGTACTGATCAAGATTTGAATTATAACTTACCAAAGTGACCCTTAACTTTGTCAGAAAATTCTGTGATAAATTTTAGCGTAGACGCACGACCAACTGGTTGACTGAATTAATAAAAAGAAGAAAACAGGACCTTAAGTTTATAGATTAAACTGAATTTAATCTTTTAAGTGCATATTCATAACGGCTTCATAGGGTTAAACCACATTGCACAACGAATCACTGATTGAGTAAATAAATAGATGACAAACTTCAATCTAAAATTGTATTGCTATTCCTATAATAATCATTACCACTGCGACTTAAACTTCTTTTACTGCCATTACCATGAGACTACTACACCTACTACTACTACTGCTACTAATACTGTAACCCCTTATATTGTTATTATTATATTAATTTTGATACTACAACTACTATTACTATTACTTATATTACTCTTAATCTTACTACTACTTCTACTACTACTACTTCTACTACTACTACTACTACTACTACTACTACTACTACTACTACTACTACTACTACTAGTACTACTACTACTACTACCACCACCTCTACTACCACGACTTCTATTACTATACTACTACTACTACTACTACTACTACTACTACTACTACTACTACTAATACTACTACTACTACTACTACTACTACTACTACTACTACCACTACAACTTCTAATACTATTACTCATACTATACTACCTCTACTAATAAACTGCTACTATGACTACTAACGGGCACAACACAAACTTTACTGAACTTCAGAAGTTTTAACAATTGTGACAAATAAAATCTATTTTATGGTGACGGATAACTTACATTTTGTGTAATAATTGCCTGTTAATAATTTTTTTTTTCACCAGGATTTCACAAAAAACTTTTATAAAAAAATATTACGTTTGTTACCTTAGATTGCACACGAATACAGGGCAGTGGATCTGCTTTCCAGTTCCTTTCTTAACCTTTTCCTTGGGATCAAGTCCTCGTTCTCCCCCTGGATAAGAAAAATCACATTGATAACTGAGAGTAAAATGTATGTTAGAATGGAGAAAGTCCTAACAGGCCAAGATAAATCGCATTTATATCAGTTTAATTCACTTCCAATCGTGATGAATTTATTTTAGAAAATTCTACCATAATATTCTAATTCAGTGAGCAAAATAATGATAACAATAATAATTGGGATTTATATAGATCTTTACAAATACTAATAACCCGGCCACATGAATTGTTCGGGCACAATGTGCACCATCTCCACTCCCTGTGTAGTATTCCTACCATATGGTCACCGTGAGAGCATATGGCAATTACTAACACAAATGCTTTTTTATCCTATCAGGTACCCCTTTCGCTCATAGGTGTGGAGTGACAAATGTATATTAATGCCTTTCCACTTTACCTAACCACTCTACTATAACACCTTTACAAACGACACCTTTACTTCCTTCCTTATGAAGCGCTTTACCATTAACTGACAGGATTATTATGTTTCCGGTCATTAGATTCAATTACGATTCTGCACATTACAATGCACATTCGTCAGAGGAGCATTCTAGCTAGTCGCTTTATTTTGTATGGGCGTGCACATGCTAATCCAAACCACAGGGACGTTTGCAACCTACACGGTACCCACTCAACACCTGGGAGGAGAGAAGCAAAGTAGATAAAATGTTTAGCTCAAGGTGATAAGCATCGAACCCCCGACCTGTGTATTCCCAATCAAGTTATTAAACCACTCGACTACGTCATCTTATGTATCAAACGAATAATGATAATAATAATAATAATAACAATATTTATAAAGCGCAGCATATCCATCTCTAGAGATGCTCAAGGTGCATACAAATAATTTAGATTAATATTCAACATACTATAGATTAAAGAAATATCAAATGTTAACTTACATTAGATCACACATCTTAATGGTGCCACGAAGCCCAACAAAGCTTGTGAAAAGAAAAACGACCAAGGTAAAGCAACAGTATCTGTGTATAGGTGCACGCATGTCGAAGTCTTCACTTCAGAAAACGGTTCTAGGACACTTACTCCCTGGACATCCACCCCGGATAGTCAACTATCTCCTAGGACAAATACACCCTGGGACAACTACCCCCTCGGGTAACCACCCTCTAGGACGACTATCCCCGGGACAACTACCCCCGGACAATTACCCCCGGACAACTACCCCATAGGCCAACTACCCCCGGACAACTACCCCTTCAGAAAACTACCCCTTTTGACAACCATCCTCTAGGACGACTTACCCCGGACAACTTTCCTAGGGGATAGCTGTCCGGGACGTAATTGATTGGGGTTAGTTGTCCTGGGGGGGGGGGGGGGGTCGTCCGTGGGTAGTTGGTTGGGGTTAGTTGTCCTAGGGGGTTAGTTGTCTGGGGGGGGGGGGTAGTTGTCCGGGGGAGGTGTCCCGGGGATCGTCGTCCTAGAGGGTGGTTGCTCTAGGGGGTAGTTGTCCTAGGGGGTAGTTGATTGGGAGTGGTTATCCGGGGTGCATGTCCAGGGGGTAGGTGTCTAAATACGCAGAAATACACGACGTACAAACATATACGAATCGTTACTCACGAATCTGAGGCATCAAATGTTTCTCAATTTGTTCCGACGAGAAGTCCTTCATTCCTCGATTGTCAACAATGTGTATGTGATCTGTTAGCTGTACCGTCTCCCTGAACTTGGTTTGACCACCACCTGCTGCATTACCGGCTTCGATGGCAACATTTTTGTAATCATCTGGTGTGGGAATATATGGAGTTAACAAGGAAATCAGATAATTATCTTGAAATATATTAGATTTTAATTAAATAATAAATCAATTATTGATACGGGATATTCCACTCCAGTTAAATATATATAAATGTAGACAATAAATTTCGTTTTGATCAAACACTTCTAAAAGAGGAATAAGAATTACAATATAATAATTGATTCTTACCAAAAGATCTGGGAGTAAATTGCGAGGTATCTGGCTAATTACTTACTCGGTTCGTGGATTCTAAAGTCTTGTTCAGCTATCAACCGCAAAAAAGAAAGAAAGAAAGGAAGACAAAAAAAACACGCTGCGTTTTTCTTCTTACGCTGTCGCTCATTTAGTTGGAATATTTTTTTTAACCCCAATTTGTGGAAATATTATGACAATGATTTATTCCTAATGGATCTAGATAATAGTATACATTCTCAGATTTTATTGAATAATAATTTGCCAGTGTTTGCTGCATGTGTATGCTACTATGCTTATGGACTAGGGGACCTACGCCCTTAAGTCATAAACGACAGTAATGAGGATTAATGCCCCACAAAAGGGCACTAATATAGCACATCGACACGGTTTTGATCCTGGGGCCTCACAGTTACGAGGCCATTGCTTTGCACTGAACCATGACTGTACGCAGCGGGGGCTAGGATATGTAATCTTCTGTGTGCCCATGCCTTAAACCATAATGCATGGTCGTACAGAGGATTTGTTTATGTTGGGGACCGGGGAGAAATTCAAAGAATTATTGATAATTTATTGCGTTTTCTTTCTTTTTTTATTTGTGGGAACTGCCCCCTACCCTAGGCCCCGCTGCGTACAGTCATAGTTCAGTAGCAAAGCAATGGTCTCACAACTGTGAGGCCCTAGGATCAAAACCGTGTCGATGTGTCATATTAGTGCCCTATCGTGGGGCATTAATCCTCATTATTGTCGTTTATGACTTAAGGGCGTAGGTCCCCTAGTTGATACGCATAGTAGCATACGCATGCTTTAGAATTTACGCAAAACAAACACTGGTAAATTATTATTCAATAAAATCTGAGAATGTATACTATTATCTAGATCTATTAGGAATAAATAATTGTCATAATAATTCCATAAATTGGTGTTCAAAAAATATTCCAACTATATGAACGACAGTGTATATATGAATAATTCGTAAATGCGTACAAAAAGGTCCGCGCGCAATCTTTTACCTCTGTGTTTACAGATAGAGAAACAAGAAGCGTATTACACTTATGTCACCATAAGAAGCCACCGCAGTTAACCGCCTCATGTCTGAATGAAGTCTTAGGACTCTAGAATTACACAGTGGACACAGCGTCTAGTGAGGGGAGGGTTGTGGGAGAGGGTCGTACCAGGTATTGGGAGAGGGAAACGTGCCCCATATCTACGGCATTTATCAATTTAAAGCTCCATTAACAAAAAAAAAAAAAAAAAAAAAAAAAAAAAAAAAATCAAAATTAAGCTCATTTCTATGATGGAACGTTATATTATACCATGGATAGTGGTAAGACAAGCATACCGATATTAGGCAGTTCGTAGATAATAGCTGCGCACGAGCAGATATAGGTCACTTCTACAAAAATGTAAATACCATCGAGACGGATCCTGGATACGTTCATGAAAGTTGTTTAGTCGTTATTAATTTGTGCAAGGATGGTATTCTCCTCAATGGTACAAACGAAGTGTGATGTACTGACCAGGCACCACAAACTACCAAAAAGTCGTATGGTGTGATTTTCAGTTAGAGCTCAATAGAGGTTTTTTGGTCAATATGGTCAAATGTTAGTTCTTAGCATTTCCTGATAGAGTATACCTTCTCCTATGTTATTTTAAAATTTGGAACCACGAAACAATCTAAAAGTGATTTATTGACAAAGTGTTGTAGACCTATATGTGTCCATATTGAGTTTGTTGGAATAGTTTCAATTTCTTTATGACCCTGACTTCTGGTCTCTTTTTGATCTCCTATAAGTATAAAGCAGAGTAAGACTTTGCATTGAAACCTGGTGAATATAAAGAACAGGATTTGCCTATTTTGCATGCTAAATTGTAGGGCAATCGGATAACCGTTCACCTAATTTCTTTTTTTATTACGTTCTAATCCTCCTTTTGTCACATGGACATTGCCTCCAGAGTCAGAAAGCTTAAACAGACTGCAAACCTTATTTATATCGTGCTCTTAAGCTACATTATTTGGGACTGGACATTCTTTTCCTTTTTAATTCGAGCTCGAAAAATTGCAAATAAGATGAGTTATATATTGTTTTTAAGATGAAAATCTCTACATTTAAAATCACATTTAAAAGGTTAAACAATTACTTCTGCCGATTTTTGGGTGGTTTATGGTTTATTGGTGCTGGGTCGCCCAGGGTTTTACTTACCCTTGAGAGCAAAGTGCAGTGAATTGATAAAGGATGATTTTCCTGCACCCATGGCACCGAAAAGGCCGATATGGATCGACGAGTCGGGTATGTCTACACCTGCCATTCCCGTGTCTTTTCCAGGTCTGTAACTTTTCAGCTTCTCTCTAAGGTTCCCCAACTCAGTCTCTTCCTCGTCTGACAAACATTGAAAAAGATTGCATTAAAAACAGAGTCGTCGGTAGTTGAACAATGACAATTGGTATTTTTAAATATTTATTTTTATTTTGGATGAGGGATATTAGCTTCTGCATTTGAAATTAATATCCACTATTACACTCCAATCTTTAAATCCCATGAATAAATGGTTATATTTTCATTATGCAACAGACTTGATACATCATCGCACATCTTTATGTCTCAAAAGAGGTAGACACAGCAAAACAAGAAGGGAGCCAAATCAATATCACAACCATAACAAGCTATCCAATTGTTTTGGTATTATCTATAATTGGTGACTTACAATATATATTTTTTGCTAGACAATTGAAATCGACTTTATTTGGATGAAGATTTCAGTTATAATAGATTCCGAGCATTTTCTTTCAAAATAAATATCTTTTAAACAAGTAATAACATCTATCAATGTTATTTATTCACTGTATTAAACACTTAGTTACTGTACCCTTGTATCTTACCTCATTAGTTATAGTGTATTTTTGTCAGACGTTGCCGACGCAAGCCTATACCGATATCCACCCCTGTCTCCCCATCTGGCTGACTATATATTCTTACTTTTGAATGAAGCTGAGTACACACCTAGGCATATTAGGTTCTTGATCGTAGGAATTCTATGCCAGCTACCCCGCTCGCATCTTTGCATTCTAGGTATTCAATCACCCTTATAAGATGTATCATACGAATGGCTTCTAACTCCAAATAACACACAACATCAAACAATGCAATTATATTGTAATTATTCAAGGTAGCATCAAGGAACCCCATCTTGTGTCAGATGACGTCCTCCAACCTTGATTTATCACTTTAGATGTAAAACGTCTCACAAAAGATGACGAATCAATCAACAGACGGAACGTAAATACTTACTCAGTGATTGTATTTCAACACTTTCGTGAGTTCTATCCTCCTTTTTCTTGCAACAAAATACCCAGCAAACACAATCTGAAGAAGTATTAAAACAATTATAATAATGATTATGATGATTATAATAATAACAATAATACTAATAACAATAATGATAACAAAAATGATAAAAATATGGAAGAAAAAATAATAATGATAATAATTATAATATAAGATCATTCAAAATAATAAGAGCAAATTAAATACTTGCCGAATCAAACAGATTCTATTTACAAAATGTTTTTAACATTGTAACTGATATGCTATTACGAATATCTTGACTCGTAATACATTTTGAAGTGCTTATTACTTGCAGCCCTTTCTGACCTAAAATTTGAAAAATCCCTTTATTTGACATCTCGGAGAAGTGAAAACATGTGAAGAGGGATGAATTAAATATCTTTAAGAGAGGATAGACAAGTCTGTGATGCGAAAGCGTGTTTTTTTGTAAATATATATTTCGTTTAAACACGCAAATTTAAAGGAAGAGAAAAGTCCTAATTGGTAAAATGTTCAATAATCTGATAAAAAAGTATCAACCATGTTGACATCGTCAAATTAGTGGTCAAAGTCTATGGGCTCAATTTGCTTTTGATGATTGAAAATGTGTTACGTTATGATTTATCATGGTTTCCAAAATCATTGGTACAAGTCCACTCCAAAAAAAAACTAACTTTCAATAGAAGCAGAAAATCAGACAAAACAATCAAAAAAGTTTGATCAAAATCGGATAACCGATAAGAAAGTTAATGACATGAAAAACTTTGAAAATCACCAAACAAATTGGCAACTCACTCATGAGTATGTGACGACATTGTTTCCTTTATATTGAAAATCCGATTTCCCTCTAAATATATTTTTTCCTCAAACCAGCATCTAAGTTATAATGATAGTAATATGTTTTTGTGTGGATGCACATAGATTACTTGTTTTCAGTTAAATCATGAAAAAAATTGAACTTTGATAAGCAATTTATATAAAAAGCAATGATTATGAATATTTAATATTTAGAAAATAGTATCACTTCTTCAAAGTTCATAACACGTTTTGTAAAATGTCAGGCAAGCAAAATGATACAAGTCATATAACCTGGGCAAAGGCATGGGTAAATCAAGTTTTTGGGGATAAAAAGGGAAATTAATGGGATATAAATATATAAAGCAATTGATAAATAGTGAGGCAATGGCATCACATACTGATAAATAAATCATGACTTCCTTATTAGTTATCCCATTTACTAAAATCTTTTTTGCTCTGTTTCTCATGTTTTTCTGCATCTATGAAAGCAGATTAGTGTAGAAGTGGACTTAGTCTTTAACGGATGATATCTATAATAATTACAATAATTACAATAATAATGATGAAAATAATAATAATAATGAAAATAAAAATACAAATAATACAAATTTCTGTTTAAAAAAAAAAAAAAAATTGTTTTTCTATTAATTGATCAAAGCGCTTACAGTATTATTATTACTCCGGTCACTGGATTTAGTAACTATTGTTTACATTACAATACACATTTTCAAATAATAATAATAATAGGCATTTTTATAGCGCCATTTATCTATCTATCTAGAAATTCTAATTCGAGGCGCATTTATTATTACCCCGGCTTTAGCCTAGCTGCCATTACAGCGCTCCAGCATTTCAAGGAATTAATTCCTGCCAGGTACCCATTTACATCAACTGGGTTGAGTATGGCAAATGTAGTTCAATGTCTTGCCAAAGGATATTAGTGACGCGGCGGGACTCGAATCGCGGACCTTGTGATCGACAGTCCGGCGACGTATCCACTCGACCCCGAAACCTCTACAATCCATGGGGAGCGGTCCAACTAGTGTGCACATGCTAATCCAACCGCAATGACGTTAGCACCCTTTCGGGTACACATCTACCTCCTGGGCTGAGAGAAGCAATGTATACAAAACTGCCTTGCTCTAACATATACCAACTGCAATGCCGAGGCTCGAACCCTTGACCTTTGCATTTCCAACCAAGTGATTAAACCAGTCATTACGAAACTTCTTCAATAGAGGCCACAATGAATATAAAGATAGTGCATAAAATACCTCTCGTCATGATCCATTTAAACCCACGTCTCGTCCCAGAGTCTGCATTTTGTTTAGACTCAACGGAGACATAGTTGACACGAGGGCACTCTATATGAAATAAAGCAAAAAATATTGGTAATTGCATTTTGTAAAAAAGTTTTTTTCCTAATTCTGCACATAATAAAACTCGTGTATAGGACGTGTCAAGGATAATGTAATCAAGGATAGTTAGCAAAAACAATACTTTTTAAACTTCACTGTTACTGCTTTCTAAAAACTTTAACTCTAAAGACTTATTGATGCGACATGCATTATTGGTGAATGTCAAGTATAAGGCCTACTAGTACAGCGGATAAGCTCCCAATATAATGAAAATTGTGCACTTTTTGACAAAAGCATAAAAACCTCTAGCATAGTTAGTTTAGACCATAAGATTTATTTTCAGATGTGGAGGGAAGTCGGATTTGACCTCTGATGACCCTGAGAGGTCAAATCCAAAATGGCCGCCAGTCCGTATGGTCTAATGTACAAACACGCTTAACTTTTGAACCAAATAGTCCAGAAAAACGTTTAAGGTGTCATTTCCAACTAACTTGGGGATGCCAATTCATTTGGTAATACTTTTGAGATCGCCTGAACTCAGGGTTTTGCATTTAGGTCAAGGTCAAAATTGACTTAAAATAGCAAGTTTTGAATGGTTACAAATGAGATTTGTCATTTGTTCTCAATTTTCTTTAGAAATGGTTCCCCTGCATAGTCCTCCACCTTAATCCTTTTCAGGTAGTTTATTTCACATTTTGTTTTGACCTCTGATGATCCTGAAAGGTCAAATTCAAAATGGCCGCCAGTCCGCATGGTCTAATGTACAAACGCGGTAACTTTTGAACCAAATAGTCCAGAAAAAACGTTTAAGATGTCATTTCCAACTAAATTGGGGATGCCAATTCATTTGGTAATACTTTTGAGATCGCCAGAGCTCAGCGTGTTGCATTTAGGTCAAGGTCAAGGTCGAAATTGAATAAAAAATAGCAAGTTTTGAATGGTTACAAAAAGTTTTCCCATTCATTTGTCATTTGTTCTCCCCTGTGTTCTCAAATTTCTTTAGGAATGGTCCCCCTTCATATTCCCCCACTTTAATCCCTTTCAGTTAGTTTATTTAACATGTTGATTTGACCTCTGATGACCCTGAGAGGTCAAATTCAAAATGGCCGCCAGTCCGCATGGTCTAATGTACAAACGCGGTAACTTTTGAACCAAATAGTCCAGAAAAACGTTTAAGATGTCATTTCCAACTAACTTAGGGATGCCAATTCATTTGGTAATACTTTTGAGATCGCAAGAACTCAGAGCTTAGCATTTAGGTCAAGGTCAAGGTCAAAATTGACTAAAACAAAGCAAGTTTTGAATGGTTACAAAAAGTTTTCCCATTTATTTGTCATTTGTTCTCCCCTGTGTTCTCAAATTTCTTTAGGAATGGTTCCCCTGCATAGTCCCCCACCTTAATCCATTTCAGTAAGTTTATTTCACATTTTGATTTGACCTCTGATGACCCTGAGAGGTCAAATAGAAAATGGCCGCCAGTCCGCCGCATGGTCTAATAATTGTACAAACGTGCATAACTCTTGAACCAAATAGTCTAGAAAAACGTTTTAGGTGTCATTTCAAACTAATTTGGGGATGCTTTTTTAATTGGGAATACATTTGAGTACGCCAGAACTCAGGGCTTTGCATTAAGTCAAGGTCAAGGTCAAAATTGAAAAAAAAATTAGCAAGTTTTGAATGGTTACATACAGTTTTTCCATTTATTTGTCCCCCTATATAATGTTCTCACATTTCTGTAGGAGTGGTTCCCCTGCATAGTCTCCATCGTAATCCCTATCAGTTAGTTTATTTTACTAATTATAGCACCAAACCATTTGTCTTGGAACTGACCATATGCATAGCATGGTTAGTGGGCAGCTAGGCAGTATACGGCAAAACCTTGATTCAAGTCAGGAAAACTGCTCCTTTTCATTACTGCTCAATAATACTGGTAAGATGTTTTTTTTAAGTTACTTTGTGTTTTATTTGGTGCTAAGTAATTTAAAGGATCACTACAGAGTTTAAGGAACAGGCCATAAAGCAAAATAACGGTTCTCCTTACACTAGACAACATCACCATGACCAGCAACCTGGAGTGCAGGCAGCATTCCTGAGGGATGGGCACTTCTGACAGTACTGAAAGAGATGGGGAATCCATTTCTAGAACAAAGTCAAGACCTACTAGTCATTGGTAGTGTACGACACCTGTTACACAAACACTTTATACGAACAAGTTGCCATTTTTCAGTCGGCAGCCGGCGAAGGTTATGTTAAAACAGTAGGCACAGATTGCAGCACTTAAGAGGGACTGTGGTCTCTTTTTGAGGATGTACATCTCGTGTCAGACAAGGGATGGAGATATGGACAATTTCTTCTCTCATGAAAACCAGGCAGCCCCGCCAGCTTTGTTAACTGGAGGAAAATGCGGTTAGGAGTTAAAGCAGATCTACTTCGCTGCCTGGAATCAAATGCGGTTCAAATGCTCAATCATGGAACATCAAGAACATTTTAAGAGTATGGAGAAAGAGTGTTTGCCCCATACATCTTTGCTCAACTCGAGAAAAGCATCCGCATCGACCTTGGCTAGGGTGTATACTTACCTGCTAGCCTGAAAGCCTCAATAAGGCAGGAAAGGGCCCCAGGAAAAGGGTGACTCTTTCTACTGTGCTGCTAAAAAACCCGAATTGTTGAATTTCATGTCATGTCGTTCATCTTCCTCTACCACAGGGCAAGGAACTGTATAATATGCAACAAATGGAAGTGGAGTACTCTGCTCCCCTGCTGAGTCACACTTGGTAGGCCTTGCCCCATGGGTGTAAAAGGGTAACCATACGTACTGGTGGTACTGATGCGGTTGAACTGGCTGTGGCTTCATTCAGCAAGACAGCTTCTGATGCTGTGGATCGCTTTTGGTGTCAGATCAGGCTTTCGGTACATAGCTTTTCACAAAATCATGATGGTTGCCACCATGAGTCCGACAAAATGTATGACTCTCCCAATCTTTCATGCGTTCACCGGGTGTCAGACTGTTTCTGCATCCAGAGTAAAAACTTAGAAGTCTTTCCCAGAAGTGAATGATTCCTTCAGTGAACTCCTGTGCATGCCTAGGGAGGTCAGTGAAGGATCAATGTTACTGCCAGAGCGATTTGTGGTGCTGATACGACCGAACCAGTAAGAGCATGGTAGTGAATGATGCCAGGAAACAGCTCTTCGCACAGAAGTCTAGAAACGTGGAGAACTTTCCTCCAACCCAGACAGCACTCAAGCAGCACATCAAGCGCACTTGCTACCAGGCCAATTGTTGGAACCAGATATTGGCCAAGAATCCAGAGATGCCAGAGCCATCTGACTTGGGCTGGACAAACGAAACAACTGGGTGGCAGCCTCTTTGGATCACTCTCCCGAAAGCATCAAAATTGTGCCATGAATAATCCACTGTCGCTGCAAGAAAGGATGCACTGAACTGTGCTCTTGTTCTGGAGACTGTTAGATTTTGATCGTTACATTAGGATAATTCATAAGTTGTGGATAGTGCTAAATTCATTGGGTAATGAACAGGTTTTAGTCGTATTTGGAATAGCTTTTTTGGTCTTCTGGGCCCAATTTCTTAAAGCTGCTTACCGGTAATCAAATTTTCGTGCTATAACTGTAGCAGACAAATTTGGTTAGCAAGAAAACAAGGCGTCCACCTTGTACGTTCACAATGGATTTGCATTGTTACAAAATTAATTTTCGTCCAGTAAGCAGCGTTAGGTTAATGCATTTTCGTGTGCTTACGGTTAGCAGTGCTATGAAGTAGAAACTCATACGTAAGCACAGAACCAGCCGATAAGCAGCTCTATAAAATATGGCCCTGGATAGTCAAAGTGGTGGTACACGGGTTTTTTATTTTATTTTTTTAAATAATGACCCCTTAAGTGTCAAAATAGAGGCAAAGTTTATTTAAAAAAAGAAAACAACACTTTTGTTAGCCTAATATAACCTTGAACTTGACCTTATTGCAAATCCCTGAGTTCTGGCGCTCTCAAAGTATTGCGTAATGAATTGGCATTCCCAAGTTAGTTGGAAATGACACCTAGCTTAAACGTTTTTCTAGACTATTTGGTTCAAAAGTTCTCAGTTCTTAAAAACCTCTCATGGTCATCGGAGGTCACATCAAACTGTGAAATAAACTAACTGAAAAGGGTTAAGGTGGAGGACTCTGCAGGGGAACCATTCCTTAATAGATTTGAGAACAAATGACAAATAAATGGGAAAAAGTTTTTGTAACCATTCAAAACTTGCTATTTTTTAGTCAATTTCGACCTTGACCTTGACCTAAATGCAACACCCTGAGCTCTGGCGATCTCAAAAGTATTACCAAATGAATTGGCATCCCCAATTTAGTTGGAAATGACACCTTAAACGTTTTTCTGGACTATTTGGTTCAAAAGTTACCGCGTTTGTACATTAGACCATGCGGACTGGCGGCCATTTTGGATTTGACCTTTCAGGGTCATTAGAGGTCAAAACAAAATGTGAAATAAACTACCTGAAAATGATTAAGGTGGTAGACTATGCAGGGGAACCATTCCTAAAGAAAATTGAGAACAAATGACAAATCTCATTTGTAACCATTCAAAACTTGCTATTTTAAGTCAATTTTGACCTTGACCTTGACCTAAATGCAAAACCCTGAGTTCAGGCGATCTCAAAAGTATTACCAAATGAATTGGCATCCCCAAGTTAGTTGGAAATGACACCTTAAACGTTTTTTCTGGACTATTTGGTTCAAAAGTTAAGTGTGTTTGTACATTAGACCATACGGACTGGCGGCCATTTTGGATTTGACCTCTCAGGGTCATCAGAGGTCAAATCCGACTTCCCTCCACATCTGAAAATAAATCTTATGGTCTAAACTAACTATGCTAGAGTTTTTATGCTTTTGTCAAAAAGTGCACAATTTTCTTGCTAAACCGCTGCACTATACACTACATACTCGATTACAAGAAAGAATTATTCTTTATTTATTTCAAATTGAATCAAAACTTTGGTGTAATTTTAAATAATTATTTTAGCGACTCGAGTATTTGTATGTAGGCATTTGGACATGTATGAAATGTAAATACATTAGTGAATAAAGCATTTGAGAGCATTTCAATCATTGAATTTGAGGAGAAAAACAAACAACTTATTCCGTCATGATAGCCGAAGAAAGCGTGAAGAAAATACCTGTTTTGTGATACTTCCACCCTCTACAAACGACGAAGATCAAAAAAGCGGAAATAACCACGACAAGAAGGAGAATAAGGAAGATGTATCCACCTGATAGGGATCCTGATAGTGATCCTAAAGATAAATGACAACACAACAAAACAAATTACAATCAATGCGCTAGAATTTGGGAAACAAAAAAATTAGATCATGCTATTTTGCGAATATGTACTAACTACTCTCAAATAGTGAAATGCGCAATTTATAATGAGACAATAAGTCCGATCTATCCAGTCATTAATCAACATTTACCTTGAACAGGTTTGATGATTTCAACAATCACAGTGCGTTCTGCGGTTCCATTGACAGCCAGACCAGAAGCAATGCACCTGAAATGGAACTGATCGGATTGGTTTGTCCTTCTGCTTATGGTTGCTGTCACGTCAAAGGCACCATCACCCCTCTGAGTGACAATCTGCGATGCAGTGAGGTTCTGCGACTCCTCCTGCCAGAGAATATCCACACGTGGCTTGGCTCGTATGACCGAGCATTGCAGCTCAAAGGAATCCTTATCTTCAGTCACATTGTACTGACAAGGCTCAGGAGTTGTGCCATTTGTAGCTATTTCGGGTTGAGACTTACACTGCGCGATTTGGATGTACGGCTTTTCTGCACGAGCTGAATGAAATAACAGAAAATTAAAAGGAGTTACGGAATTTATTATCAAAAATAAACTTGTAAATACATAATATTCAGGTCATTTACCATAAATCGCTCCAGGTTGGGACTATCATACGAAATAGGGAGGTGCGGCTTTTCAGCCAAGTCTGAAAGAGGTGACCGTGGTTAAAGGATACGACATATTAATGTTATTTAAGCCATTTCATAGATATAATTTTTTCACGCTATCCAGTTATATCATTTTTTTTAGAGAGAGCGTAAAGAACCTGAGCATTTATATAATTGAAAACATAGTTCAAAAACGCACACGAGAATGAATTGAAAATATAAATGAAATCCCAACATAATTTAATCTATCAGCATGATTATGTTATATCACATTAAAGCAAATGTAACGAATTACACAGTTTTATCTGTTTTAAACACCACCATACTAGTCTATACTATGGGTTGGATAAATTTGGAATAGATATAAATTATTCAAGTTATTCCATTAAAACGATCACACATCGTCGCCTTCATATTACCGCAACGAGTCCTCTGGAACAGCAAAGACTTTCAAGAAATAAACTTAAGGGCAATGTCAATACTGTTCTTTGAATTACCTTGGAAAATCATTTCAACATTACAATGCCATTTACATAATTGCACATTTTAGAAGTTGACGCACATGGCTTTTGAATTTGAGCTATGTTTTTATTTTATTTTGTTTGCTAACGAATGGTATATATTCCTCACCATGCACGGCCAAGACTGTCGTGTTTTGAATCTCAGTTCCACCCGTCTTGGAAACCATACAAGTAAAATTCCCTTCGTCCAAGACCCGTAGATCCCTTATGATCAGTCCGTAGTTATCGCTCCAACTATATCTCCTGTCTCCCAGCACCTCATTTCCACCTGACGTGTATCTCAGGACAGTTTCGACGCTCTTAGACTCAGCTTCCCCTTGGACTCTGTTCCAGAGGACTCGTTCAGGGGTGCCTCTGAAAGCACACTGAAGATTGACCGAATGCCCGGCCCATCCTGTAATACTCGGTTCTGTAAAAATGCTCACTTGAGCCGGATCTACACGTACAAGATTTGAAAGAATTTGGACCGATTCAGTTTGTTTGTACATTGTATGACAAATCATTTAGTAACTTCGATAGCAAAGCAATTGAAAGTCCTGTCGATATTAACATAACATTTACTTTAGTTGGAAGTTGCCGCAGAGTTGTATATCTGTGTATAAAGGTAATACAATTCTACAGCATACAGAGTAATAGAAAAATGATAAAAATGCATAGTTGTCCCTAAGCCACAACAACGACAACAAAATGCATATTAAAAGCACATTAATCTATTGGTAATATTAATGATAAAGTCATCAAAAGCTGGTGCCTATGTGTCTGGACATGATTTTTATTTTTAAAAATATATATAAAAAAAAACAAACACCCAAATCAACTGTGTGGTGATATGATTGTTTTACCGGGCTGCATTTTTCCTATTTGATACATGGCTAGGGAATCGCCGTTAAAACGTTCAACATATTATTTTGTGACGTGCATGTCGTTACAAAGAACTAGTTGTTGGAATTCGCCTTTTATAGCTGATATTTGTTTAGATCCTCAAAGAAGGCGCCTAATTTGAAATTGAAATATACTAAATGATAATTTTAACTCACCTAAGACCATGACATCAGTGTTATTGTCGAACAGATAGCCGTTATGATTTGAAACTCTGCATATGTAATTGCCTTCATCACCAGCTTGAACATTATTAAAGACGAGAGAGTAGTCCTCAGTAATAGTAAGCGATCCATCGTCAAACTTTGGTCCGGATACTTCCCCTTTGGTGAGAGATAGAAGCGTGTCTGCAGTAGCCGGGCTACTCCCTGAAAGTAGAGGACAATAGATGAAAATATTGAATCCAATAAAATGCTTATGTTTGCGAATGATGTCGCTTTTGTCCACTTCTTGTAAGTTTGTAGTTTTTTAAATTTTAAATTACGATATTAGTTACTTTTAATTTATACTAACGTCACTAGAAATAGTGGTATCAAAGTTATCTGAGTGCAAGGAAAGCCAGCAGTCCACAATTGGGGCAATCTTTCAAACGTATAATCTAAATAGTAATTTTAGACTGGTGACTGGTTTACCGTGAATGATTTACTGATGTGCATATTTATGGTAATTCTAATTCACGTGGTAACGTTCAAATGCAATATTGGGCTTTAGTTTTCAAATCTTACCTTTAACTTCATAATCAGTTTTTTTTTCCAGGTCGCGTACGGTTGCGACCGAACAGATTATTGTTGAGGATATAACCATAGTGTATGAGGTTTGAATATCAATTTGCTGCTCTTTCTATAGCTTTGCAGATGAGGTCAAAGGTTCATTGCCATTTGCAGTCATTATCTCAAAAATAATCTACTACAGTTTTATTTAACCTTTCATGTACCTCATAAGAAACGACCAATCTAAAGAGGTTTGGGTTCACCAGGTCAACGGTTATGTTAGATGAGAAACATTGCACTTGAGGGATATTGTGCCAGAGGCAGAGGCACAATTCTTAACTACGCGTTTTTTTTGTATTGCCATTTGGTCTAATTGCCAGCCGTTCTAATTTCTAGTTTGTCTAATGGCCGTTTCTTCTATTATCCACATGGTATAATAATCTTAAAGTGACTCGGTAACATTGTTGAAGGTTGATGAAAACACTGCTCAATTTGTGTATGTAATGTTATTTATTATTTTCCTTTACTGTACTACTCCTTTAACATGCAAAACATCCTGAAAAAATTCCCTAACCACAAAGATATTCATGGTTTTCTCTGAAGGAGTAACTTCGCGATACCCTTTTACAGTAAATTCCATCTACCATTTTTGAATTTTTCCAACCGTTTTTCCATGAACGAAAGACATATAACAGGCTTTAAAAAAATCTTTCAACGATTAAGTGTCTGGAATGGTATATCAAGCCAGTCCATTGTAATGTAAATGTAATTAGATTGGAATAATATAGTTGGGAGAATTAAGGAATCGATCAGATAATTTTTGCCCAATTTTTATCAATAATAATGGTCTGTTTTCACTCAAATGTTTAGATTATCTTTAATTGTACATAAAGCATTGAAATCAATACCTTAGCATCTTTTTCTCCCATCTGAACAATGTTATTAAGTCCCTTTAAATAATAAAAATCATCAATTGGTTATTAGACCTTATGGATCGTCGACGAAAATGGCATTAGACTGACTGGAAATTAGACCGACCGGCATTTGGACCAAATGAGTGATATACCAAATAGGTAGCAGACTTATTGGAGATTTGACCAAATGGGTAGCGACCAGATGAATATTAGCCTGAATGGTTATGAGACCAATTAATTAGATAAAATGATTATTGGACTATGCGGATAGTAGACTGGCAGGGTGTAGACCACTGGGGAATCGATTCGGTAGTAAACAAACTAGTCATTGACCATAAAAGGATACAAATTCCTTTTGGTCAATAACTAGTTTGTCTAAAGAACAACAATAGTTTCCTCACTCGGATAAGGAGAAATTTTGATATAGTATCAAATGCATTACAAACAAAATCAGTGTTTTCTCATTTTTCAAAAGGATAATAACACTGCAATATTGAAATTTTAACTATTACACAGGCTCCCCCTCTCTACGCCCGTGTTCCCCCTTCTATACACTACTAAATACCTTTCATCCAGTAGACACCGTATGGAGTCCCGAGAAATTTGCAGCTGATGTTAGCTTTTGGCTGGCCATAGAAGAATGTTGCTGTTGGAGGGGTCCATACTTGGTTGTCGGGAACCTGATCGGTAGCATTTACGTTACCTGAAACGAGAATGGTCATCAAGTATATTTTTGACATTTGTCTCAAGTAGTCAGCTGAATATGAGAGCTCTTGCCATGACTTTTAATCTAAAAAAAACAAAATGTTGATGAAGGCGAATGTTGCGAAGATGTGTACTGCATGTAGTTTCGATGTTTCGTTTGATAAGAAACTGCTTGGAAGCAATAGACCACTTTGGATATAGCATTTGGACAATTAACCCCAAATATGTGCAGATCTTTTAAACATGGAGAAAAGTCCCACATTGTGTATCTTAGAAAAATTACTGCCAAAACGTTTGAGGTGCTTGATGAATACCTTTTTGTTTCCCCCTCTTGGAAAGACTACTTCCACATGTATATCATACGATGTTCCGTATAGACATAAGTGAATACTAATTGCATTACTTGTATACGTCTCGATGCGTTTTGAAGGTTTTGATTGTGATTTGAAGGGCTTGTATCATATTTTACTCTGAACATTTAAGTGAAATAAAAAAATCCTAAAGGTTTCCTAATGGATTGTGAATCAAATCAAGACTTTAAGTGCTCCTTACACATTTGTGACATTGGCAAATAACTGATACATGATAAATGCAGATAAGTGTCTTATTCTTGTAAAATCGAATTTTGTTGTTATTTTATATTCATACAGGGTTCTGCTAAACGTGGAATTGTACTACATGTTTGTATTATCAAAGTGCAGAATAAATTCAAATTCAACCAAATTCAAATCATTTTAATTCAAGTCTTATAGTAGCAAAATTTAATCAGCTGATCAGACGGACAAAATTTGTTTATGTATGTCCACCGATGGCTTTCATAAGAGAATACCATTAAAAAGGGAAAGGACAAAAAGAAAGGAAAGAAACTTCACAGGTGTGAACAGACCTAGAATGATCACGAAGAGAGAGAGAGAGAGGAAAAGTGAGAGAGAAAACATATTCGAATTGCAGTTCTGCCGACTGGAATGCGGAAGGTGTGGATCGTCAAACCAACAATTATTTGTTTACGAAAAGATGATCAAACACCAAAAAGCAAAACAAATGTGTGAACGTATATATTCATACCACAATTTTACATCATAACTTGTTTACCAAAAAAATGATCATACAAAAAAAACCGCAAAAGCGAACAACAGCTTTTGACAACATGTATTTTTTTATACAGTGCGTCCCAGAAAAAAGGAAACCGAGAATTATCGATGTTTTATTATAACTTAATCACAATTATATTTAACAAATGACACATATTTGGAAAACTTAGATCATCTTCTTTCATTTGATGCAACTTATGTGACTCATATCTCACGTATAAGTGATTAAAAGCAATTTGAAGAGAGGAAACAAAAAAGTCATTTGGCGGGCGGTATCTGAATTTTAAAAAGAAAATCAAATTTCTAGTAAGTTCAAATTCTGCCCATTAACATGACACCTCAATCCGGAAAAATGACCCAGGAATAACAAAGTTCTGTTTGTTTAAAGTAAGGCTTGCATTTCCATAATTTGATCAAACGAGTTCGTTTTCACTGGCTACCTGCCGTAGCAACAAACAGAGTTGACAAAAGACTTAACTCTGTTTCGTTGACGAACAGCCATGCACACACAAGACGAAAGACTGTATTGTTTAATTTTCATTTTTTATTTACTTTTTTTCCCGACACAAGTATAAGCATTGAAAAAAACATGCACAATACAGTGCGTACCCAAAAAACAAATATACTCAACTTTGGTAGCTCCTTACTAAAAAATCATAACCAATATGACTTTGAAATGTATTTCATGATAGAGAGTATCTTATCTTGCTGTCAAATGATACCCTGTTCTTAATATTTCTATCACGGGTGAGTGACACCAGGGTCTCCAGGCCATATGCATGTGCTTCTTTGGTTTTAAATCCGTTAAAAAATTAATTTTTGCCTCATGATTTGGTGCTTCATTGTTTAAAATGACTCAATGTAGCATGGCTTTCACAGTATCTTGTTTCAATCCATACGATAATTTGTTTATTATAGGATTTCGCGGCCAAAAACTAAAACCGTCGAATTTGAACGCAAGACAAATTAATTTGAATGACAAACTCGCGAATTTGGCCAGGAAATCCTATAATTTAAACAGCCTATTAATTTATTGTCTCATGATATGTAAGTTCTCCCGCTGCGCCTTTAAAATGTGTAAAGAGCATACGGTGTTTAAATCGAATACCGGTTTCGGTTACGAAACCCAAATGCAAGCAAGAACACTTTGATGATAAGTATATCATAAATCTACAGTACACTTTCATAAAAAAGATAACATCCCAATTAAACTTTATTCATTTTGAGAAGGGTTACCTCAAACAAGAGATGAGAATGTAGTCAAGATTGTAATCATCATAACGAAGAGAATATTATATATTCTGCTTGAAGTAAGCATTTCCCTTTGTTTGAGTTGATAACAACACCATTTCTTTTCACTTTGTGTCAAAGTTCAAATTGACTTTACTTCTTGTTACATATTGGGTGTTAATATAGCATTTCCCGGCCAAATTCGCGTATTTGTCATTCGAATTCATTTACTTTGCATTTAAGTTAGCGCAGATCGGCTTTGCCATGCCAATTATCATTCAATTTTCTAGTTTTTGTATTTAATTTAGGATTTTGGTCGAAGGGTTTCATAGATCTGTCATTCAATTTAGAAACTGCTCAACTAACTTTCAAATTAGTATTCACTTGTCGAAGCGTAATTTGTATCATTCAAATTAACACCTGTCATTCGTATTCGTAATATTTTTTATTTAAGTTAGGAATGTTAGGAGGAAGAATTTTAACAAACTTTTACAGTTTTTAAATAATGCAGTTAAAATGCATGATTTACCATTGGGGTCTAAGCTGTTATTCCATTTATTTATTTTAAGGACAATGCAGATGGGTGTAGTCAGACATAAAGTAAAGAAGGGGCGGAATCATGGGATATGGCATTTCTGCACGGACATGTTCATATACCCGGGAAAGGTGGGGGTACCCTCAATCGCCCCTTTTTACTACAGACTCGGAATTTGACAAAAGTAATTCACATCGACTCTTATACCCAGCACACCCCTCTGTTTTTCTTAAAGAGTTTCATAGTTTACTTGCCCACCAGCAGATCGATGGCTAAAGACATGGCTAAATAATGAATCATGTTCAAATTGTTGACTCTAGTCCCTACCCCAGTCACAATATTGTACCCTTCTTCCATAATGAAATTATGATGAAATTATGATAAAATTTATGATGAAACATCAGACAAACAACTTCCTTACATGAACATTTATAAATATACTGAGACCATCAGGTCCGTAGATGCAAGTCGTTTTTTTTCTTCTTAACAATCAGATAAATCTAATAAGTATAAGTGTATAAATGCAAGAAAATGAAATATGATGACATACACATGAAAAAACAATCTTGAAAGAAAAAGAATAAGCTATAAAAAGTGTGTAATAAACGAGAAATGTATAGTGACCATCAATTTAAGTGCACAAAGTGCTAATTTGAATGCTACAAATGAATTAGAATGCTTAAAGTACACCGTCGCGTTGTCAGAAAATCGTGTTGCGCCAAATCGAATGACCAAATAGCGAAAGAAGCACATTGTTCATTAATTTGAATGAAACATACGTAGATTCTAACGAAAATTCCATAAATTTGAAAACTAGAAAAGGGAATATAAACCCGAGATATACCTGACTGCACTAAAACCGTCGAATTTGAACGCAAGACAAATTAATTTGAATGACAAACTCGCGAATTTGGCCGGGAAACCCTATATAAATATTACTATCACTAGACAAAATTATAGGACACTATTTTTTTTATAGAGGCAGGGTGGCTCTTTCAAAAAAAAAAAAAAATAATGTTTGGTGTTTTTGTTGCTCGAATTCAAATTGATATTCTAAGCGTTTAAAAAGTCAAACAGTTCTTTTTCTTACAGGATTTTTTGGCCGTTTCCTACGGTATTTTATAATGTCATCAAGATGGAAATATATATATAAGTTCGCGAAGTAAGTAAATCATAATTTACAGTAAGAGCATCCTTAATTATTTCATTTTTCTTCTCGCACTTCAATGCAACATATTCAGAACATTTTTATGAATGTAATATCAATCTAAAATGGGTAAGTGGTGATTTCATCAAAAAATTGCGAGTCAAAAAGACTTCAATGGAAAGGTTTGTCATACAATGAGGGAGCAACAGCTATGCATCGATCTCTTGAACGTGCAATCAATGTGACAATTGAAAAATGCTACGTTTTACTAAAAAAAAGCATTACTTTGTAATATTAGTAAAATTTCTAATGAAATTTACTCAAACACTATAACTAACAGTGCAATGCAGTTTCATTCAGGACGATTGAGTACTTTTAATTAGGCAATTTTCGTAATTTGCCCAATTTTATGCATATGCCTTTGTGAAGCGCCTTAATACGAATAACTTAATTCACCTGTTACGAATAAATGTATCTCAAAAGTCAGAATACACATTTCATACATCATTTGTTGCTAGGTAGGTCATCCATTATGGCCTGCCCCACCTAACAACACGTTATATATGCAATATGCATTCTGTATATTAAAATTCATTACTGGGCCCCGTCTTACAAAGACTTGCGATTGATCGAAATCAATCGTAAGTCTAATAGTTGCGATTGATATCAATCGCAAATAAGTCGCGATTGATATCAACTCTTTGTAAGACGGGGCCCAGGTTAATGAAATAATTCGTATCGAGGCACTTCGGTCTAAATTTGGTTACATCACAAAAATAACATATTATCGCCAATCAAAATATCATTGCCCCCTTTTTTTTTTAGAGATACCCTGTAAAGTTTAGGTGAACTTTGATCCCTACATGTACTGATAGATGACTCAATTCTATTTACACTCTGTTTCCCGCGCTACATCATACTACAATATACTACCACGTCAATAGCGAATGAACCATTGTTCTCAGTCAAACTAGCTTGACACACGTTCCGACTACTTTTTTTCTTCCAAAAACAGATTTCAAAGCGATGGATTTTTCATGTCGATGAGCCGACTGTTACCCCCGTCAAATACACTCCGGACACACAATAACGTTTCCACAGTGTTCATATTGTATAAATATTATAACCGTGGTTCTAATGGCCACATGCAAAGGAAGTCTTTGGACTTCGAACTTTGTTTTTTCATACTTATCACCATGTGCATGGAATTTATGAGAATGATTGTTATTTGTATACTTTTGCGAGCCACTTATGTATTTACCAAGGTGTTTTGAAATGGGCATATGCTGTTAAAGCATGGAACAGCTTGTTCTTGGAGGTAAAGGATATTTAAATATTCGAAGCTAAAATATATATTTCTGTCCTATGCATATCATTGAATACTATCACTGAATATAATAAACTGTTTTAGAGCTCCCATTTTGTTTTAAATGAACCAGATTAACGCCTACAAACCAATGGAATTTTCTGAATGACTTTATTTAGGTTAGAATTGATCACATAGAGCTTTAACCGTGGGCATACAAGAACGATTACGAAGAGGAGGGGGGGGGGGGGGGGGGGGGGGGGGGGGGGGGAAGGAGGTTGTCGCCAACTGCTTGCCTGTTCAGTGAGCAAAATTGTTGACACTTTACTGTGACAAATACTCAGAAGCGTGTTTCATTAATCGAGGTGACAAGGGGAGGAGGAGGGAGGGGGAGGGGGAGGGGGGAGGGGGGGGGGGCTGGGTACCGGTCTTAATCAGAAAATGAAATATTGATGCCTTCAGATGGTGGAATCACTTTAGAGTATTTTCAATTTAATTAAGATTTATTTCCATTCGAACAGTAAAACATAAAATATAACATAAATTGAAATATAGATCAATATTGTCATGAATACAAATTTACTAAAAGTCTTCATACAAAAAGTTTACCAAAAGACAGTTGATAATACACAATTAAAGCACATACGATGTGAACAAGAGTGAGGGTTGAATTAAAGACGTTGTTGATAATACCTTTGATATTAATCAAGATTTCAACAGGACCATGCCTTGATTAACAAAAATATCCTCTTGTTGCCCGATTGTATGACCCGCAATTGCCGGAATGCTTATAATCTGAAAGAAAAAGCCCACTGACGTAGCTCCAATGCCCCCTCCAACCACCTGAAATATACCAAACGTTGCTTTCCCCGTCTACAGCAGGGAAAGTTTACGGGCTTCATTACGAGAGATGATGTCTCATATCCGCTTTTCTTTTCAGTATTCGGTGTTTCCCGTTTGATTCATTTGGACAAATTAAAGATATTTAATTTCATTTACTTTCGTTTAGTACATATTTTTTAATTTCCACTTTTTTTTTAAAACTCAGTGACATTTAACCCCCCCCTGAAATCTTCAATTATACAAACAAAGGGCGGAATCATAGAAGACGAGGATCTTGTTCGAAAATGATTACCTATACAAACTAATCAAAACGAATATGATAACGGTAAAAGTAAAGAGAGATAGAAATAGGAGAGACGAGATTTGTTTTTGTTTTGATAAAACATTTTTTATAAACAAATTTACTCGTCACATATAAATATGATATTTAAAAGTTATATATATTCTCTAGACATTTTAGGGGGTAGAACTCTGCACAATTGTATGACTCTTTCAACAACGGCACATTGGAGGAAGCATGGAACATAATCAACATGTAATTCATGATACATGACAAAGGCATAATGCAGTTCGACCGGGCCCGTGCCCGCCATTACTTTCGTGTGTTAATAATGTCAACGCTTACCCATGATAGAAGTCAACAACATGACCAATTCCAACAATGTGATGATGGTGTTAGAACATTTCGTTGCCATAGCTACAAGACAGTACTTGACGTTCTGCTGGTAGAAGTAAGTTATCCGAATTTATGAAAATCGCTTTAAATGACTATTACGACAAGCAAAGTGGACGATTCTACAAAATCGTAATACGTTTGACAATACCAGAGTGTATTGAAACTATTTTGGAAGCTTCTAGGGACGCTCAATTGTCCTTGCCACAGTGAGTGAACTTGAATGAATAGGGACTTTTAGATTTACACGCCGACATAGTAGACTGCTACGTGTGACATCCTTTTAAGGCAATTTGACGTCATTTTAAGGCACTGCCGGGCGCTGCCAGTGCCTTAGTAGGACGTCACATTGACTTAAAAGGATGCCACACGTAGCAGTCCACTATGTCGACGTGCAAATCTAAAAGTCCCTAATGACTTGAATAGCAAATATGAAGTATCTTAATAGACCCTAGAGTGAGTACTTTTTGTATGCATTTGACTTGAGAAGCCCTGCCTGGCTATAAAAACAACCAGTAGGCGTTTAACTCGACTGAGTTTGAATTGACACTGTGCATAGTCCACCCAGAACTTGTACAAAACGGGCAACTTCCTTCAGCATGGAAAATAAGCCCTGTTGTCCCTGTGCACAAGAAGGGGAGCAAGTTGAATGCTAACAACTACCGCCCAATAAGCCTGACATCAGTCCCCAGTAATATCATAGAATCCCTCATCAGAGATAATATAGTTGATCATCCGATGGCATTATGATCTTATCAGTGATTCTCAGCATGGATTTGTCCCATGTAGATCATGTGTTACACAACTGCTCCACACTCTTGAGGAATGGACTGAGTAGCTAGATCAAGGATAAAAGGACGATTTTGTCAACGTATACTTTCCAAAGGCATTTGTCAGCGTGCCCCATCAAACTTGATGCTTACAAGATCCAAGGGAACGTCAAAAAATGGATTGCTGATTTCCTTCATGGTCGAACGCAGAAGGTGGTGGTAAATAATGCCATATCGCAGTGGTGCAAGGTGAAGAACTGTGTGCCCTAGGGCAGCGTACTCGGTCCGACACTTTTTTTTCTACACATTAACGATATTTCTGAGGTGTTGGACTCGACTGTGAGAATCTACGCAGATGACACACAAGTTTTCTCCAGCGCCTCTACTCCCGACCAACGCAAACTTCTCCAAGCTGACCTGTGCTCATTGACAGACTAGTCCTCAAAGTGGCAACTCCAGTTGAACGAAGACCTGATTAGCATTAGACGTGTCTTTCAATTTGATTACACACCCACCATTCCCACGCCGTTTATAGTTCGCCCCTCCTTTAATACGGAAATGTAATCTGGTCACCATAGTGCATTTTTAGATGCAAAGGCAGTGAGTAGAGTGAAGGAGAGAGCAACAAATATGATCTCCACAATGAAACACAAAACTTACACGGAGAGACTTAAATGCCTGAACTTGCCATCCCTTTAGTACAGGATAAAGAGAGGGCATCATTCAGGTGTACAAGATTATTTATGAGCATGACAGACTCAACCCTGACCATTTCTTGAAGAAAAAAACTGGCATTATCATGATGGATGACCTAACAAGTAACAATATTTTCAACAGGCCATCCGTAACCAAGCCTAGACAAGTGACGTAATAGTTATCGCCTTACAGACGGGAAACGATCCACAATACTCATCTGCTGCAAACGAGACATCCTGAACATTGCAAAACCAAAACCAGTTCTGCAGACTAAAACCACATCAAAATAAATGAGTAAATTGCCCTGACATCACAAATGTGAGTCCGAAGAAGTAAATATTTGTAAATTAAATGTTACTGTACCACTTATTTCATTCTATTATCAGAGCAGGTACAACCATAAAAGTATGCTCCCATCAGAGATTCGGCTCTCCAATTAATTTTGTTCATTTTGTAGTCATGGTGTTTGTGCTTAAAGTGACTCGGTAACATTGAATTGTTGAAAGTTGATGAAAAAACTGCGTCATTTTTGTATGAAATGTTACTTATTATCAATATTCCGTTTACTGTACAAACCTTCTAACATGCCAACAAAATCCTGAAAAAAAATCAAACCACAAGGATATTTATGGTTTTCTTGAGGGTGTCACTGTGCGAAACCCTCTAAACAGTAAATTATCCCACCCAGTTTTGTATTTTCCGAACCGTTTTTTTCCATGAAAATAAGAGATGGGACGGACTTTTAAAAATCTTTTAACACTTACACATGTCTGGAATGGTATATACAGCCCAATCATTGTTTTGTGACGATTTGCATTCATCTAAAATGTAATTAAATGGTAATAATATAGTTGGGAGAATAAAGTAATCGATCATATCATTTTCCCCCAATTTTTATCATTAATCATGGTCTGTTTTCACTCAAACTTTCAGATTATCTTTAATTGTACATCTAACATTAAAGTCACTACCTATTTTCTCCCATCTGAACAATGTTACCAAGTCCCTTTAATGCTCTATATGTTTTGTCTTTCTGTACCTTTTTTCACTTTGACTAAGCAATGAATTTATGACTATTATTGTGCTCAAGATGTCCTCATATGCTATTAATGTATACTCTTCATATTCTATTCAATGTACTCGCATTATAATGAATAGTAATCTAAACTAGTTCTATTTAGGTGAACTTAGTGGAACCTCAAAAACATATTTAAAAGACTTATTATCTGTACTGCATGTAATATTAAGAACTTCCAAGAAAAAAAGTGATGAAAAAGGTAAATTATTTGAAATTCTAATGATTACCAATTTACATGATCAGGACGAAATAATAGGAAAGGTGAAGGAGTTCGTCTTTGTATACATAATCAACTACAATCTAAAATTAGACAAGATTTAAAAGTATTTAATGATTCTTTCGAAAGTCATTTTATTGAGATACCTCAAAATAGAAAGACTTTGATTGTTGGTGTGTTTTATACACCACCTTGTAAAAAACTTGATGATTTTAGTGTTGTCCTAAAAAAATATTTAGAATAAATAAATGAGCAAATTGTCTTTAAATCATAAATGTGAGTACAAGATAATACATTATTTGTGAATTAAAAGTTAATGTATCAGGAATTCGTTTTTAACTTTCATGGCACTTACAAACAGAATATTGATCCTGCTCTCCAATTGATTCTGTTATGAAACTCGGATGGTTCCATTTAGATTATTTAGAATTGTATTCTTTTCAATTTTACATGTTTTCTGTTCATTCCGTACTCGTGGTGTTTGCGCTTGATGCTTTATATGCTTTTTCTTTTGGTACCTATCTTCACATTAACCAAGCAATGTTTTTTAAAAACTATTATTGTGCTTAAGATATCCTCATAAGCTATCACATGTATACTCTTTATATTCTATTTAAAGTACTCACATCATAATGATTAGCAATCTAAACTAGTTTTCGGTCGGTGAACTTTTGGAGCCTTAAAAACATATTCACAAGAATTATCATCTGTCTGCAGAAGTTTAAACAAAAAAGGTGATGAGACAGGTAAATTATTAGAAATGTTAAATCATAAGTTTAAAATATTAGCTTTTTCAGAAGATTGGTTAGATAAAGAAAATACTCCTGATGTTAATTCTAATGATTACCAATGGACATGATTAGAAAGAAGTGATAGGACAGGTGGAGGAGTTCTTTGTAAACATAATCAACTACAATCTAAAGATAGGCAAGATTAAAATGTATGTTACTTGCGAAAGTCATTTTCATTGAGATACCTCAAAGTAGAAAAAATTTGATTATTTGTGTGTTTTATAGACCACCTAGTAAAATACTTGGATTTAAAATTGGTTAGTGTTGAAAAGAAAGAACTCCAACATTGATCTCAAGAAAATTGACTCTTTTACATATGTAAATGAATTTTTAGAAATATTTCAATCCTTTTTCTTTTCACATTAACAAACATGAATTACGAACACTACTGAATCATTAATTGACCATATTTTTGTGAACAAGAACTGTGACCTACTCTCTGGTTCAATAATTGCCGATGTATCTGATCATTTTCCTGTATTTGCTCTGTGTGATTATTCTTTTCCTTTACAAACATTTCCTGTTTATAAACATCAGCGGCAAATTAATGAAATAAATCTAAATAATTTGTTTTTGAAATTAGCAATGCCGAATTTCATTTCCAAACTGATGTTGATTCAGAAAAAGATGGAGACAATCTTTCTGATAAAATTTAATGGAGTTTCTAACCGAAATGTATGAAGACTGCTTTCCAATGAATTTTTTTTAAAGTGAATACGATTTTAATCCTTGGTATACAAGGGAGATGAGAAAAAAAACTGTATAGGAGACTATATACGAATTATAGAAAATCTGTTTGTAAACATGCTAACAAAAATATGTTAATGTAGTAAAGTCAGCGAAAAAAAACCCTCTCTCAAATAAATTGTATAAGGCGAAAGGAATTATGAATCAAACATGGAAACTGATAAATAATCTTTTTAATAGTAAAAATAATCTGAATATGCATAATAATATTTATTCTAAAGTAGGTAATGAGTTGGTGACTGACGGAAACAATGTAGTAAATGCTTGTAAAGATTATTTTGTAATTGTGGGTCAAAATCTTGCCACTTTAAACAATAATGTTTCTCGTAATATATCTTATGAAACATATACGAAAGAGTCTTATCCACACTCATTGTTTTTAAACCAATAACTAAACAAGAAAATAATCATTGATATCATCTCTGCATCAGATAATAATAAACCACCAGGGTAAGATCTAATGACCAATAAGATTGTGAAGAAAGTTAGTCATATATTTGTAAGACATTGTGTTATATAATTAATATATGTTTTCAAAAGGGCATAGATCCATAAAGTTGCAAGATCTCGAAAGCTGTTCCAATTCACAAAAACGGACCCCAAAATATATTTCCCAATAATTATAGGCCAATATCTTTACTGCCATGTTTTGCAATGATATTTGAAAAATGTTTAAATGATAGGCTTATGTGTTTTCTAGACAAAAACAA